AAATAATGGGAATTGTATTTTTTGCTGGATTTATTATTATTAATTAATATTTTACCCTATTTGATGAAGCCCTTGTTGAAATACAAGCTAATTAAAATGTGGTATTTATGGTTGTTGTATAAATGTTGGTATTTAATTATTATTCACAAAATTAACTTAAGGATTGTGAAATTATTATGGATTCCCGAAGTTGCATATTGGCTGAACATGGTTTTATTAGGTATTATGCATATGTATTATATTTAAAAAATATATTTATTCACTAATCAAAATTAAGATCATTTTCTATTAGCTCATTAGTCTCTGTTTATTCATACCTATTCCTATTCTTTTATTATTTGAATGAATTCAATTTATCCTAAAAGTTTAACCCCTTCTTCGATATCTTCTCTGAGACTCTTTCTACATCTTCCTCCTCAAGTGGATTCAAACCGAAAACATTATTAAAATAGTCTAATTGTTACTGCTTGCTATAACTTTAGAACTCCTCAAGATAAATGTATTCCACATTCCAATCGAAAAGTTGTTCATAGAGAAGCCTTTGTATTTATCTTTCCTTTCGTAAATGTTTCAATAAATTATAATCTTGCTCTCCCAATCTAATTTAAATGTTTTTTTCTTCATTCAATTGCATTTCAAAATCTTAAGGATCCAAGACTATTAAACCAAATTTTAAATTTTAAGTTTTGGTTTTTATTAAATGAGTAACATGAAGCATCATCCCTATTCCTTAATCAAACATATTTATATATGACTGGTTGAACTCCTACTTTAAGCTTATGTCTTTGCATTATTTTTACAAGGATTCTTTGAGCACATCTTTCAATTCCAGCAATTAAGAATCTTTAAAATTGTTCAGTAAAACACTTGTCTAAGCATAATGAGAGACTTTGATAAATTAAGAGATTTTTTCAATGCCCACCTCCAAATTGAGTTTCTCAATCAAAATAACCATCCATAAACTCTCTACATATTTATCGATATGAAAAATTGTATTGATGTCTAATTCCTTAATACCCATACAAGCCTCCTGAATGAGTTCCTTCTTGATTACTCTTTCCTTTGTCAATAGGTGCTCTTGAAGTAAACACCAAGCAATCACAACCCAATTGTCCTATTTAAAAAAGAACCTCATTTCATCCTTGTATTATTAATTTAAAACTATTAATTAATTGTGAAGATGCTCATTTTATGGATCAATGTACAAAGCTTAATGAAACAACGATTTATGAATCGATTGCTTGATCTGAATCTACTTTTGTGAGCAGAATTTATAAAAGTATTGCGAACAATAATGTAAAATGACTTAATCTTCATATGGCAATTCAGTTTCCTAAAGATTTTGTATAAGTAAAATAGATAATTTAATTTAATCCAAATGAGGTAAGGACATTTAAAGAGTCTATAAAATGGCTACTTTTAAAGGAGTTGATATCTGTTTCAAATGCTCCGACGTTAATTAAATTGGTATTTAGAGTTTCGATTGCATAGATGCTATGGTTATATATGCCAAATATGTCGGTTTAATCTATTGTTATTCATCTGCATTAAGTTTCTTTACAATAATTTCATTTAATAATTTTGTTAAATCAAAAGTCTCAGAATTGTTTGAAGCATTTAGATACAATAGAGTCAATTATCTAATAGATAATAGATTTTATCTAATCATCAATTAATCTGAAAACTTCTTATACAATTCTGCATTTCCTTTTCTTGATTTAAGGAAACTCCAGAAAATTGAACAGAACTATTTGTCATTTACTTTGTCAATCAATTCAATACAAGCTCCCTTAAATAACAAATATATATTACCTCAATTTTATGTTAAAGAGATCTATCATTATATTTAAAATAATAAGTCATAGTCGCCCTACATAGTTTGACTAAGTCATGAGGCAATAAATTTTTGTTAGATGGGAATTATTCAGCCAATTATTCTTCAATTATTAATTAGAAAGCATTTGAACAGATATTTGGAGTAAATATATACTATGCTAATTTGATAAAATCTGAAAAAGTATAATCTCTTATCCTTTGCTATACCTATTTCTCTGTAGCAGCATATATTCCAAATCCTCCCTTTTGATTATCTGGACATTTAGAATACAGATATGAATAATAAGCGAGTTTCAGGGGATTTATTTCATGCTAAGCAATCTTAATGACTGACGCTAGTTAACCATAAAGAATTGCTGAACCATAATGACAATATTAATATGCCCATAAAATCTTTTCGACATCTTAATACTTTATTATTTCATTTTTATCAGATAATCTATCATATATTTCATTTTCCATAATTCGAAAAAAATCTTAATCGAACCTTTTGACGTATGCATATTGTTCTAATACTATTGCAATTTAACTGAATGTCAATTTTTCATACTTCTTTGAAAAATATTTAATAAAATAATTATAAATGTCATTCTTTATTAATTCTTAAGTGGTTTATGTTTTATTAAGTAATTAATTTCTTTATGCTTAATCTTATTCTCCTAATACTTTTATAATTCTTATTGCATCATTTGGCTCAATATAATGTCTCTTGATTTTCAACCACAATTAAGGATTATATTACCCTACTTTGATTTACTAAATAAATTTCTCCTCATGAGTCTCTACCACAGACTTTATGGCAGACTAAATTTCCTTTAAACTAAGAATATCAGAATGCAAATCAATTTTTTAAGAGTAAAGAAACTGTATTACTTTTTTAAACATAATTATATTATAATTTCTTTACTTATTCCAAATAAAGAAATGAAAAATTGATTTCTCAAAAATTTTGTTCAAAGGAATAGATTCTATTTGAGTTCCTCTCTTTCCATAAAGGATTCATTCAACTACATTATATTAAATGTTTATGTACATAGCTTTAATGTTAACTATATTTTAAACTACTATGGCTCATTCTTCTTTATTTATTGAATGCAGCAGGTGTGTAATAATAATCATCACTTTATTTAATATCGAAATATTATTTACTTTTCATATTTCTAAGGAGTTTAAGTCCATTACAAAATATGTTATTTATTTGAATTAACACTGTCCTTTTGTTGCTTTTTGAACAGAAGGTATTTTTTATGCATTCTATTTCTTCTAGGATGCTTCATAATTGTTCTTATTCTTGAGTCATTCTTTCATTAATTATTAATATTACATAATGCTATTTTCTTAAAGCAGTGCTTTCTCTACTCTAAAGAACAGGTAATTTCTTAGGTTCTTCAATTTCTTCCTCTGAATCTGTTAACAAACTAACATAGGGTTTATTTAGAAATATGATCTCAAGGGCCTTTTTCTCAAATTCAATCTGAAACTGATCAAAATAAGAAGGCCTTTCTTCATAAAATTATAAGATACAACCCTTTTAGTATAAACTATTATTTAATATTCTATAGTTTTTCATTGAATTCTGAAATTCTCTTTTTCATACCTGAATTCCAATGATTTTTAATTGCATTGTCAGTTCTTCCTTCTAAATGCTTAGCAATTTCAGCCCATTTATTACTAATCGCTTTATGATATAGAAAGAGAATCCATTCTTCATCAAGATCCCAAGGTGATTTCTTAATTAATGGATTCAAATGATTATGCCATCTATTGATATTGTCAAATAAAATGACTACCGTTCTCTGCATTACTTTCCAATTCTTCCTGGTAATTTTGAAGCAATAAAAGTCCATTTATGAGGACCATACAATTCAACTAACTACATAACTTATGAATCCTCGTAATCAGTCCAAGGTTCTAATGTTTGATAGGAATTAATACTTTTTTTTGTTTTCTCTATTTTCTTCCTCATTTTTTAATTTTTTGAAATAATTTATTTAACTGATTAATAATACTTCATAAAATTAAATATATATAATAAAATCGAATGAAATATGTCCATTGAATGTTCAATTTATTAATTTTCTATGAATATTGCCCGTTTTTATTTGTACCTAAAAGTGCACATTTTAAAATTGATCAACTTGTTTTGAAACTAAAAAGAATCTTTCAAATATAGCAATAACCTTGGTTCTCATGATTGAAAGGTAAAAATTATCATAATTTCTTATTTAATTTTACTGGATTTCTAATAATATAGTGATATCAGGAAAATCTTTGCCTTTCTTTAAACATACTAAAATTCAAAAATAATTTATATAAACTTAATATTATAATTAATCATTTATTTGAAAATGATTAGCATGAATCCTTTTAAATATGTAATAGAAAGTATGATGAAAATTAAAGAATATTAAGATTAATTTAATATTTATAGGGATATAATATATGGATGCCTAATGCCTTAATGATTAAATTCTGAAAATTAGATTAAGATTTAGTTGCAAAATAAAAGATAGATTATAAATTTAATAAATAATTTCTTATAGAACCTACATAAGGAAGACGTAATAGATTGAGATATCTAACTAAAACATTGTGATTCCTCTAAAGAATAGGATAAAAGAAGAATTAACCAAGTTGGATAGTTATTTATTTGCTCGCATTTATTGATTTACGAAAACTAGAACTTAAGGATTAAAGTAAGGTAAATCATCAAAATTAAAATAGAGGATTGATATGAAAGTTAAAGAACATTGGAAGTTGGAATAGAATATCAGTTTCAATTTTGATTAGATAAATATTTTAAGTTTTAATAACCCAAGTAGTAGATTTTGCTATCCATAAAAATATTATCATTATTACATTAAATTTGAATTAATGCAATAAAGAATAAAATTATACTCAAGATAAAATAAAATAATTCAATCAATACCAAAATCTATTGATTAATAGATTACCATGCAATCTAAAATTTACAATATTAGAAATGGTTAATCAAATTATTTAATCTTTAAACGGTAAATTCATAGTTTTAAGCTTTCAGAATATTAAGCATATATTAATCTAATGAATGTTTAAACATTGTGATATAAAATGAGAATAATAATACTGCAATTATTTATTTATATAATTATATAAACTTTTGACCTTTTGAGAATGAACCTACATCATGAAATGGTGCATTTTTGACACCAACTGTCATTATTATTAACTCCTGCATCATCTTGAACAACTTCAGGGATTGTTATTTCATAAACTAAGGAATTAATTACAGTTTATTACATGCATCCACAAAGTACTATTTATTGTAGGGTATTTAATAGTGTTTTTCTATCTCTTATAATACTTCTTCGATGTAAATCATCAATGTTACAACCTATTCTCTTACATTTACTTTAGGATTATCCAAGCTATCTTTAATTTACTACATTTAGAATCCTAAGACTTCGGCATATATTTTGCTTTGATACTGATAATAAATTTACTTAACAATCGGGTCAAATTGTATTATAATTTATTTCAAACCTTTTCTGTCTTCATATGTTTGTTTAATTAAACCTGTAAATGTTATTGAAGCCTCTTGTGCAAACTCCTATAAATGTTTTTGTGTTATATTTTTTTATTCATTTTATAATTTATTGATATTCAATATTTTCATTATAATATTGAATATTATTAATATTAATATTCGTTTTTAATGAGAGCAACATCAATATTGTTGATACTTCTGATTAGCAGTGTTCTTGGCACCAGATCAATTTATGAAATATCATAAAATGAATATGGAAAAACAGTGCTATAAGCAATTCAATTGACTCTAAATGAAGAACCAGCCTCATTTGGAAGGACAATAGATTTATTGTAGGAATTAAAATAGGGAATTCAAAATGATTAAGATGAAGATTCTGGACTTTTGACTGAAAGATTGGAAACTTGTGAAACACACATCTCCCAAAACTCATAAACCATTTCAGATTCATAAACTAAATTGGCTTAAGCTTAAGAATAAGTGAGTCCACTTGAATAAAAGTTGCTTGATAAAAGACATTAGGCAGAGGATAAGGAAGGTGAAGAATAGAGAAACAATGATAGAATTAATAAGTTGATTTTATCAAGATAGGAATCTAGATAGTAATTTGAGAGCAAAAGAGATGAATTAACATCAATTGTTGGGGCATTGAGTGAAGCTAAAAAGATCATATCTTCCATCAAGACAGACCCAACTGCTTTAATTTAATTGAAAAACCATAAAGAAAACATATGTAATTATTGAGAAAGTAAAATTAGTAAATTAAATTTAAAAGTCATCAATGTTCTACACCTTGATTCATTCAACCCTATCTTTAATACAATAAGGAACAAGTCAAGAGAAAGTCATTAAGATTATTGATGATTTAATCGATGAAGTTTATTAGGTTTAGAAATTAGAAATGATTGCTGATGACCAAAGAGAAGCAGACTTTGTTAAGACTAAGTAAGTTTAAATATATTAAAATTAGAATTCGTTTTGAATTTGCAAATACTAGATTAAGCACTAAAATTGCTGAATTAAGAGCTGATGTGCAATAATTATAGTAATCATTGCTAGAATTAAATAACAATATTGCAATTTATTAGGATTTAGTAAGTGTTAAAACTAAAGAAAATGCAGATTGGCAATAATCTTGCAATGATGCACAAAATAGTCATAATGGATTGACAGATTATAGAAATTAATAAATTGCTATTATCGATGAGTGCATTTCATTGTTATAAGGACATGACCCAGAAGTAACATCATTTATCTAGAGATTTGTTTGAAAAATATTGATTATCCATAAAGATGCTTAAAGCATAATCTAATATTTAATATCTATGGGAGTTCTTCCTAGAATTTTGTCTTTATCCATTTTATAGTAAATATGAAAATAATTAAAATATATGAACTTTATGAATACTCATTCATAATTCAACTTTTCAAGGAAATCATTGCCTAGACCTTTGATATCGAGGCAGCTGACAAGGGAGAAGAGTTAACCAAGTTGTAATCAGAAAGCCCCCTCAGTAAGTTACTAATATGAGTGATTTAGGTTTAATTTCGTATCTCCAATACGAATTATCAAATGAATAGGGAGATGATTTAAAAAGCTAATGGAAATTATTTTAGTCAGCATGATGATACAAGTGGTAGCACGAAGATGTCGAAAGCACACATTTAATAACTGTTGAAAAAGAATGAAATAGAATTTAAGTAGTCTTTATTTGATCAGGAAGATAAAGAGGAAGAACTCTAATTTATATTATTATGTTAAACACTTGAAAAACTGTTGTGATTATTTAATATGAAATGATAAAATATTTCTTGTTTTTTACGCTTTAGTTTATAATAAATAATAAAAAATATATGTACCGATAATACGATTTCACTTACTCTCCTTCAAAGTCATCGAATACCATAGACGATATGGAGCAAAGACTTAATGCTGTTATTAATGCAAATGAAAAATTGGTACTTTTTTATAACTAAGATTTTATTATAGACTTTACTGTTAAAAGAGAAAATTTAAGAGAATGATTAGTTGAAAGAAAATATTGATATTCTATATAATAATAATCAAGAATTATCAGAAATTAATATAGAACTGTGTGATTAAATCAAAAAATGCAAAAATTAGAGATGTGCCTCGCTTCATTAGAAAAATCACATTGAAATGGAGAAGGAACTCTAAAAACTAAAGGAAATTATAGTTTAAAAGGATAGAGAACTAGTAAATTATTAGCATCACTTTGAAGAAGAGTTGCAGTTAGAAATAACATCAAAAGACTATGTAAAAATTAAAAATAACGTATTAGATTGATAAAATCAAAGGGTTGGAGGAGCAAAATTAATAATTGATCCATGAATTGGACTTGGTCACTAAAAAGTTAATAGAAAGCCAAAGAGGATCATTGACTAACCATGAGAACAATCAATTAGCATTATAATATGAATCAATAATTGAGGATTTACAATAGAAAATAGAATAGATGAATAAGTTCCTGTGTTAGAAGGGCGATGACTCATCATAAAACCATAATAAATAGTTCTTGATTCAAATGGAATAGTTGTAAGTAGAAAAGATAACTCAATCACTTTAATTGGAAGAATAGAAGAAAAAAATCAATAAATTATTATAAGAGTTGGAAGAGAAGAATATTATGATTGATTAATTAAAGAAAAATTATAGTCTTAATACATCCAAAAATGAGATTATGCAAAAATAAAATATGCTTTAAAATAAACAAAAATACATTAAAATAGAAGAAAATTTATTAGAATTGAGTGATGACATAGAGACAACTATTAAGAGAAAATATATTACGTCAGGTAAGGGGTTTATGGAATAGAAGAGTCCTCGTTCTTAAATTTCAGATTAAGATTCCTATTTATATTTATATGAAAAATTATAGTAGGACATGTAAATCAAGGAAAAATAATATAATGAACTTCTTGTTAAAAAACAAATAGCAGATAACGAAATTCTAAAGCTTATGAATTTAATCAAGGATTTAGAATTCTCAAATTAAGAAAAATAACTATTAATTGAACAATATGATAATGAAATTAAATCACATCATCGAAACATTAGGAAAAAGGAATCAGAACATAAGAAAAATATCATTAAACAATAAGATGACATATAAATTTATGAAGATAAATTAAATGCTCTTGAGAATCTCAAGAATGAAGAACTCAAAATTTATGAATAATAAATTTCTTAAACTCAAAATTAACTGAAATAAAAAGAATTGGAACTTAAAAAATTGTAGGATTTAGTTAAAGATAAGAATAAGTTATAAAATAATTTGCAATCTCTTATTGAAGAAAAGAAAGAAATATAATCGAATTTGGAATAGAAAGATTAGAAAGAAGAAGATTTAAAAACTAAGATTATGCTGCTTTAACAGTAACTAAAAACTAAGGAGATTGAAAATAAAAATTTAAGGGATAAAGGTTAAAATTAAAATAAAATTTATGACTTAGAGAGTTAGATAATCTAATTAAAATTAGAATTGGAATAAAATCTTATTAATTCAGAAGTTTAAGCTGAAATCATTTAAAAAAATGAATAATAAATGAAAATGAAAGAATTTCATATAAACAAACTCTAAGATCAATTAAAAGATGCTAGCAACAAATAGAAAGAATTAATTACAGATAGAGAACTTGAAAATTAGAGAAACTATTAATAAATAGATGAACAAAATGATTTATTAAGAAAATAAGAATACGAAATAAAAAGATTACAAAATTTAATATCTTCAAAACCCTTAGAGAAAACTTTGAACATTCAATCAGAAAATCTAGTCTTAAAAGAATAAATAGATGAATTGATTAATTAGTAAGCAAAATTAGAATAATAAGTAATGATATTAGAAACATAATTGAAAGGAAAGGATCAAGAAATAATTATTACAAGCTAAAAACAAATCTTATCAAATGCAGAATTATAGACAAATATGAGAAAGTAAGAGGCTGATTTAAATGGTAAACTTATAGAAAAGGAATAGATTATTCAAGGACTATTAAAATAAACATAATAATTAAAACAAGAAAATGAATAATTGAATTAGAAAATAAGTACTTCATCTCATACGATATCAAATCTAGAATTTAAATATGCTTAATTAGTGTAAAAGGAATAATAACAATTGGAATCTCATAGACAGGAAATATAAAAGAAAATTGAATAAATTCCACTAAGTGATGATGGTACTACTTTAAGTGAGTTAAATTCTTATCGCATGGATGAGCTAAAATCTTTTGCAACTTAGTTGGAATCATAAAATAAATAAGATTTAATCTAATAAATTTTAGATTAAAAAATTGAATTAATTTAGAAAAATGATTAGTTCAACAATTAGGTTCAAACAATTGAAGAGTAAAAATAATTGATCAAAGCAAATGAAGAAGAAATTGAAAATCTCGGTGATCTCCTAGAAGCAACAGAGAAACAATTAGCTGAATTAAAGACTTCTAAACAATAGATGGAATCTCTTGAAAATTAATTGAAAGTTAAAGAATAAAGTCTCAAAAAAGTATAGGAAGAAAATAAGGAATTGTAATAATAGAAATAATTAGTTGTTTAATAGAAAAAATAAAATGAAACTTAATAATAAGAGTCCAAAAAATTATAGGACACTATTATCAATTAAGAGTAACTAATGAAAGTGAAGGATGAGAATCTGAAAAAGTTGTAAGACTAACTTAGAGAAATTAACAAGAAAAATGAATAGTTTTCAAGAGATTTGAATTAGAATAAAGCCTTGAAGGATGAAGTTGAAAAGCTAAAGACTGCTCTGAATTAGAAGGAAGAAGAACAGAAGAATTTATAGAATTAAATTGGCAATCAAAAGAAACAAGAAGAACAAATCAAAAAACTATAATAATAAATTGAAAGAGAAACAAAAACTAAAAAAGAAGAAATCGAAAAATTATAGAACGAACTTAATTAATCAAATTAAGAGTTGAAGCAAGCATAATAATTAAATTAGAATTATAAGAAATTAGAGGATTAAGTGAAAAAGCTTCAATAACAAATAGATTCGTAATCTGAAAAAAGCAAGAAGCAGCAATAAGATTCGGAAAAGAAAGAGTAGGATTTAAAAAAGCAATTAAAAGAGACCAATGAATAGTTATCAGAATGGGAATAAAACGACCTTTCCAAGGATTAACAAATAGAAAAGCTTAATAAATAAATAGAGGAATTTAAGAAGAAAGATACAATTTTATAAAAATAAGGAAAAATTGTAAAGGAGCTTTAAGAATAGTTAAAATAATCAGAAAAAGTTAATATTGAATTGTAAAAGGAAAAAGAGAATAAGGAGGCTGAAATAAATTGTTAAAAAGAAAACTTGGAGTAAGAAATTAAAGATTTAAAGGAACAGATAACAAAGTTATAAAAACTGAATGGTGAACTCTTTATTTATGAGAATATCATATAAGTGGATGTACGTAAGATGTAAGAACTTTAGAAAAAGATTGAATGCTTAGAAAATTGCTATTCATAATAAGGTTCAAAATAAAATATCGAGACAAAAAGCTAAGGAGTGACTCCAAGAAAATAAACTAGAGGAAATTCTGCTATGAGATAAACCGAGGATCAAATTTCATAAATGTCCTTTGAATAATTGTAGTTGCATGCTAAAAAATTAGAGTCAATTATAAAGGAAGCAGGATTAAGTAATAAAATAAACTGATATCTATATATACATATATTTAATAAGTATGACTCCATTATTCAATTTTTCATTTTATCAACGAATTATTTAATTTTGTCAAGGGCACTCTAGGGTATTTCTGCTTCAAATTCAGCTAATGGGACTGTGATCGTTTCTCTATTTGGATAGGTTAACATCTTGATTTTGTAAATAAGAAATTCTTTTATTATGTCATTAGCAACAGAAATATTATATTTGGATATTGTAGGTTCAATGCTGATATTCATAGAGGGTTCTCCGACAAATGAAACCCAGCTACGGCCAATAAAATTTGGTGTATAGCACAACCTCAATCGTCCATTCAAAGATGTTATTTTGACTTTAATATTAACAGGTAAATGCTTTTTAGCCCAACTAATAGTAACAAAGGTTTCTAACTCCATATAGAAGAAACCTCTAAATGATAGTTCTAAATCAAATATACAAGAATCGGTGTTTTTTTGTGGAATAAATTGCAAGACTTCTGGGGGTTCTCCTCCTATGTCTATAAATGTGACATATATCTCATCTAATTAGGAAGGTCTCTTCTTATTCAAAGATCTGTATAATTCTGTCATAAATTTCTATCTAAAATAGATAGATTTAGTCCATTATAGAAATAGCACTCTTATTAATTATTTTAGTACAAATGTCTCCTTCAATGAATTCACTGTATCATTAGGTTACTTAGTAATTTAGCTATTGGATCTAGAACTAGTTTTTGGAATGGTAGTCGTATTATTATTGAGTAAACCTGAAGTTTGATTGATTTAGATGTCTTTTGGAATGAATGATATGTTAGCCTGATTATCTAGTAAACTTTTGACTATTTAATCTTATGATTAATACATTTGGTCAACTAAGATAATTATAGATAATTATTACATTCATCAATCATTCTCATTGTATGATTAACTACACACTTTGAAAGAGTGGCAAAAGATAAAATAAATTGGAATTTAGTTTTGGAAATTATTTCAAAATGTTAATCAATATAGTGTTTATATTTATTTTCATATTGGCTTAGTTTTCTTTTGAGTTGTTCTGCTTCCTATTGATATTAACAATAATTCTATTTAAATTATTATTTCATCCTTTGATAATCTGTGAATCCATCCACTTTAATAGGATTAAATTTTTCTGAATCTTTCAGAATGCAATTGAATAAATAGGTAATATTATTGATCCTCTCTTTAACAGACACTTAAGTTTCTTTGTATTCTTTATAGAGTTTAGTTCTATCTTCAACAAAATTATTGGTAATCTATTTAATCTGAGTCATAAGATTTAAATAAAATGATTTATCCTTAGGAAAGCTTTTTGTAAATAAATCAGTTATCCAAATATCTTTCAGTTAAACTAATTGTACTTTTATATCATCCAATGTTATTTTCTTAATAACTTCTCCTATTTCAACAAAAAAGTCTAAGCATTCTCCATCATACTTTTCAAATTAATGAATTTAATCCTCATAAAATTTAAACTTTTTTATGAATTCTTAGAGTTCTTCCTTCTCATTTCTCATTAATCTAGGAGGATCTGTTTCATCCAATGATACAGTGCGTGATTGTCTATATAATATTTACGTTGGAGCATTTGTTTAACTCTAACTCAAATGCGAATCAGTTTAAGTATGTTATAATTTTAGTATACTTTTAAATGATTTCAAATATTGTTCATAATTATCATAATGGGTTTGTAAAAGCGATCGAATGACTGTCTGATACATTACAATAAATTATCTATCCCAATTATCTTTAAACTCATTTAATTGCTAATTTGTTTTGGCTATTGCAACTTATAATTCTTTAAGTTCATACTTTGAACTCTGTAACTTATGTTAAATAGTTGATAGTTATTAGGTTGATAGTTTTATTGACATTTCCATTTTAATCAGTTTTTCTGGGTTTGTTTTATTTTTTTTTAATTCCCTATATTGGTTATTATTAGATTCTAGATCTTTTTCAAGTAATTGCTTTTATCCTTCATAATTTTAGTTTTTACGAAATACTTCATCATACTAGGATTGGGTTTGGTTTTTTAATTTCTTGATATTCTTGTATTCATCAAGATACGTTTTTTAAATAGATTGGATTTGAGGTTGTGCTACTTTGAGAATTTAATATCTTTGTTGTTAGAAGATGTAATTGAGTTGTTTAATTTACTATTTGATAGTATTCCAATGAGGTACTATGATGTTTCTGCCTTGAATTTATATGATGGAATTGAGCAACAATTATTATTCATTATTCAATTCTTAAAACAAGATTTTGTGTTATTAAGATGAATCAATTTGATCTAAAATTGATAAGGATTCTTTTTTGGCTAATTTACTTAATAGAGAAGCCTAATTCTGCAATTCAAAACTCTTTTCTAGATTTGAATAATATGTTAAAAGAGAATCTGTTAAATTAGTCACACATTGATATTTTTGGAGCAATCCTTTTCTGTCCAATTTGATGAGAGGTAGTTTCTGGGAACCGAAATAGTTCTTGATTTAATTAAGATAGAGATCTGCTTACTGGTGTATACGACTCTTCTATGCGGCAGGCAGATCATCAGTCTAATCAACTTATTCAATGATATCGACTTGGCTTGGCTCATAAGCACTAAGTGATAGTGAGGAATCATTTAGTTTATCAGAATCATCAGGTATATATGATTGAAAATTAGTAGAATGATTTATCATAGAAGCTATTTATTTGAATCCTATTGTCAATTTAGAGTTGTTAATTCTTTTCAACATGCGATAACGTAATATCCAAATGAAAACGAGGATTTCAATGTAAATAGTATACAACGTACCATATAAAAAATAAGTGTAATTGCTATGGTCTAAAAGAGGAATTAAGAAGGCAATTGATATTATCAATAATGCAGTAATTAATTTCATTATTTTATATATGTCAATTAAATAAAAACTATATTAAACTTGGCATAGATTCTTATAAACAAATTTCAATAGTTATTTAAGAAGTGCACCTACGCCAGGGAAATAAAGGTTGTACAAGCATGTTGATATATAAAATGAATTCGATAAGTATGAAAAAGAGAGAAGAAAGTAGAGATTGCAATTGATTGAATATAAGAATAAATTGAAGAAAAGAGTATTGGAAAAGGAAATTGCATTGATAAAATAATTCGAATCAAGTTAAATTGATTTTGTATCTACTAATGCTTCACTTGAAAATAATAATATTAGTAAAGATGTCGCAATGGATGAATAAAGAAGACAATCCCTTCTTAAAGAATTAGAGGAAATCAATAATTAATTGACATAAATTGATAAAGAGAAAGAAGAATTAAAGATTTTAGAGAATGATATTGCAGTTTTAGAACCTAATATGGTAATTTTAAGAGGAATTGAGAAGAAAACTGTATTAACCATGATTAATTATATTGAATTTCAACATAGACATGTTTCAGGTTTGGTATTGAATCCTGAAACAATGAAAAATATAGAGACTGTTCATTATCATGTTATGAATAATCTACCAATTCAAAGAGAGAAACTCTATGAAGTTGTTCCAGAATTATTTTAGGAAGAAATTGGAGAATTGGATGAACATAAATAACGATTAATTTAAGAGAATAGACCCACTTTAGATGTATAGGAAACTAGTGTAATCTAAATTATTGAAAAGAGTAGAATACCTGCATCAGATGATCCCATCGTCACTTTATTGAATGAATAAAGAGAAATGATGATGTTTGTTTATAATAAATGTGTCATTTTTTGTAATAAGTATGATGATTGGATAGAAATGGTAAATATAAGATTAAGTCTATTAGAAATTGAAATAAGGGTTTCCAGATATTGATGCCATTATTGAGAATTTGTTATTGAGAAAAGATTTGAGTGGAATTGATCTTGAGGTATATGAAGGATATAAAGAATTAGAAAAAATAAATGATGACTATCATAATCTGTTAGAATTGAATAAAATTAAAATTAGGAAAGAATAAAACAAATTAGAAATGCCTCCTTTTGTTGAATCTCATGAATTATTAAGAAGGGTGTGGACAGAAAAATGGGAAGCTCATGTAAAGAATTCTCTCGATTTCTCCTAATCCATCTTAATTCCTCATAACACTTATGAATCTAAATTAGATAAAGTGTTGGCAGATTACAAAAAGTAAGATATCCAAGAGTTGATTGAATAATGTATCATTATTATTTAAATAATATAGCTAATCAAGCTCTAAAAGAGAAATTAGGAGGTGATTAGCCAGTTCAATATTATGATAGAAAAGAAAAGGATTTAAATTTAGTCAAATAAATACAAATTCTTGGAGATGTTATGCATTAGATTCCATCTCATGAAGAAGAACTAAAAGAATTACAAAAAAAAGCTGAGTAGTTTGATAAATTATAAATTGATGATAAAACCTAGATATATAAAAGTGAAGAAGGCAGAATTTTATTAACAGAACTTCCTAAAGTATTACATTTAAATAATAAAGATCCAAAATAAGTAATTGTTATTAATAATCTTATTAGTATAATTTATTGTTTTGGGCTGAACACTTCAATATTGAGCCTTAAAAATTGAGAAATATCTTCAACTTTATACATTACCCAATCCTAGATTAATAAAACAAGGAAGAGAAGTCAAAGATATTAAAATTTATATATTAATGAATAAGACAATAATAAATTCAACGTTTATATTTTGAAATTTCCCTTAAAAACAACTCTCTCAATCTTGGAATTTGCAACTCTCCTTCTTATTCAAAATCTAAGATGATTGGCCCTATTCATTAACATATTATGTTTACCTGGAGCGACTATTTCCTTCTTTTTATCTCTTACCTTTTAAAGCATAGGGTGTTCAATAGCTTGATCAAGTGTAATTCTCAACTTTGGACTAAATTTAAGACACTTATCTAGAAAATCCAATGCATCAGGAGGAGCACCAGGGAAAATATCAACAAAGGCCACTTTAGGTTTCTTGGGGAAACTCTTTAAATATTCGATAGCCTTTTTGTCAGTTACAAAGTCCATATCCCTATATATTATTTAAATAACATATAAACTTTTCTCCTGGAGTGCCTAGAACAGAAAAGATGACTGTTAATTGATCAGTATTTGAATAAGGAAATCCACCCTTTTTGGCAATTGCACTTCTTTCTGGACTCAAGGGAAAACAACTTGTTCCTGGAAATAGAGGAGCTCTATCTAGAAAAGTTGGTGCATTCTCTTTCATCATGTTCAATAGCTCTGCAAAGATGCAACCTACAGACCAAACATCTATAGCTGCTGTATAATCTTTCTCTAATAAAATCACTTCAGGGGCTCTGTACCAACGAGTGACAACATGACCAGTTAATTCTCGCTTAACGGCTTTTGCATTTAATTTGTTTTATTTTTAAAGCATCCTAGGGCCTTTCTTCTCATCTTTCTTTTTTGGTTCTTCTTACTATCTAGCTATTTCTTCTTCCAAGGCTTGATCAGAGGCGTCGATTCCTAGAATATTAGTTTTGATACCTTGTACACTTCTAGCTAATCCAAAATCACAAATTTTGACAGTGCAATCTTCATTCAAAAGCACATTGGCTGGTTTCAGATCTCTATGTAATACTTTGGCTGAATGTAAATATTTGAGACCCACACATATATTGTAAATTATAGTTTAAATATGCAAAAACTACAAGTGTATTGGTGATTTGAATAATTTTTTTAAGTCACTCTTTACTAAATAAAATAAATTACTTGTGCATATTCCATCACAACGTAGATGGTGTCGAATTTGAGATCAGTAGGCTCCAAGATCTCGATGATTTAAATCAGGTTTTGATGCTTTAATTCTCTTAGTATAGAAATTTCTCTTAATATCCTTTTGCAATCAATCTCGTCATCAAATATTCCTGTCAATCTTGATAATCACAACTTTTAAAACCTTTTGATTGCCACCTTTTTATTTGTCGATTTTTGTAAAGCTTCGACAACTTGACCGTATGATCCAGAACCTATTTGTTTAATAATTTCATAATCGTCTCCAACTTGCCAATCTGAAAAATTTTTTGGAAGAGAAGACAGTTTCTGAAGTTTCTGACCGTCCTGCATTGCCCAAGTTTTAAAAATAAAATAATTTAATGATTCATTTGGCATAGGAATAATGTAATCTAATAACTTAAATTAAAGTTTTATATAATTGATTATACTTAATTATTTATTATATTTTTTTTATCTATGATCTTTAATCACTATGCCAAATAAGAAACTGTTGACTTGGTTATTATTTTATTTTTATTTAATCAATTAAAGTAATTTATAATGTTAAGTGAACAATAAATTTTATAAATAGTCTTAGCTGCTGATGGCATAGTACTACACTTTCAATTTTACATCACTAACGAGAAATTATATTTAATTTTAGGGTTATCCTCAGTAGTTTTCCACGCCATAATATTTCTAATCGAACAGATGATAAGAAAATAGCTATTGAAGATGTTTCTTAATGTACTTAAATTAGCATAAATATTTATTGTTTCCTAAATGTTGTATGAATCTTGGATGATATACGCAGGAATTTAAATAGTTTGCATACTTAAATTTAACTAAAAACTAACAAGATTAATCATATTCACATTATTTTGTATTCATTCAACATTCCTGACTTTTGACGATATGAATTATTTGGCTACTGGAATCGTGAGAAATTGCCTATGTTACATTTTGCTTCTAAGTTTATTTAAAAGACAATCTTACACAACTGATTAAATGGAAGGGATCTTCAAGTAATTAAGTTCTGATATTTTGATCATTCTGGATGATAATTTTATACCAGAAAACGAGTAAGAGAATTTTCAAAGCATCATGAATGATTATATTCTAAGGAGTTCTGATGAAAAAAGTGACCGTATTATTACAAACAGGGAGTAAATTACCGTTGGTATTCAGCCAAAATTAATAGATGAAAGAAATACTTTTCAATTCAAAGAAATTTTCAATCACCTAAAAACTACATTAAATAATTGGTCAGATCAATCCTATGAAACACAATCCAGTCATATTATAGCGGTTAAGAAAGTATTCATTAACGAGAGCATCATTTAGACCAATCATTTTAAGTGTTTAGCAATGTAATAAGATTACTTTTTCATTCTTTAAAAAAAGGTCAAACCCAACTTTACAAGATTAGAGCCTTAAGTAGACAATGCTAAAGAAAACTTGAAAATTCTAAGCAAAGTATCACATGATATGAGAACTCCTCTGAATGCAATTATCAACATGTAGTTATGTTTAAAGGATTAAATAGACAAAGCTCTTTCTGAGAGATATTTAAAACCATCCCTTAATTCTTGTAGATTACTATTGAATTTGGTTAATGACATATTAGATTAAGCTCAACTTCAAAATAGGAAAATTCGATTGGTATTCAAAAAGTTTAATTTGAAAAAGCTTATCGATAAAACAATATCGATATTTGACATTTAGAAAGAGAAAAAAGAATTAACCATTATATTAAAATATGAGAACGATGTACCCCAGTTTATAAATAGTGACAAAAATAGAATTAGATAAATCATTATGAATCTGTTAAGCAATGCTGTTAAATATTCAATGGCAAAAGGACAAATAGTAATTACCTGTGAGTATATGAAGAAAACCTAAAACTTTAAAATCTTAGTAAGTGACACTGGCTTAGGTATAAAGCCTGAGAATTTGGATAAGCTTTTTTAGGAATTTGCAAGAGTTGAGGACTAACAAAATCAGGAGAAAAATCCAAATGGAATAGGGTTAGGATTGTTAATAAGTAACGAATTATCAAAACTATTATCTTCTAATAATCAAGGGATCTCTGTGAAATCTTAATATGAGAAAGGAGCTACATTTTCTTTTCAAGTTTTAAATCAAAAGGCTCCTGATGAGGATCTCTCTGATTCCCTAGCTTCAGATGGTGCTGCTGTTTAAGATGTGAGTCACTTACCTGTGTCACATTTTATCTAGTAATAAAGTTGCAGTTTGAAATCTAAAGAGTTTGTCATGCCAATCATTAAGCAACCATCAAATGACAGTTATTCAGGCATTCCTACTAATAATAATTAATCAATTAAGAAGTACAACTTGAGAGTGAATTCATCAAATTTATTATCTTCAAATCGATTACTCCCATTTAATGTGGAATGTGAGAAATCTTACCAAAGAAAGTCCACCACTCAATCAAATTAAATTATTGAATAAACAAATAGTTGGTTGGATTAAACTTCTAAATAGCCTCCAGTGTTGATTGTAGATGATAATGAATTCAACATTATTGTTTTGTAATACATATTGGAATAGTTGTATTTAACTTGCGATTCTGCTATTTCAGGGTTGGTAGCATTAAAAAAATGCAAGGAACGAGCTTTGAGTCAATATAAACTGATATTTTTGGATATTGAGATGCCTGAAATGGATGGATTGGAGACAGCCATGAAACTCTTGTAGTTTGATTCCAGCCTTATGATAATAGCTTGTACTGGGAATCGATAAACATAAGAATAATTGGAGAGCTTCAAGTAAGTGGGAATGTTCGGAGCTATAGAGAAGCCGGTCACAAAAGCTAATTTGAAAGAGTTACTCCTTAATATAAATGTCTAAAGAAATGAACCATAATTTACTCATTACTTTTGATAATTAGTCATTTTATAATAACAGTTATTCATAAATACAAATTATAATCAAAGTTTATAAGGCAAACCTTTACTGCGTTTTTAATTTTTAATAAGTCTAGGAATATAGAACAATCCTCTTACTTCTGCTTAAAAAATATGTTTCCCATATTATTTAGGAGATTTTAGTAGGGTATACAAGGAAGTTGGTTTCCTTTTTTTTCAGGATGTTTAAATTAGCATCTTTCCCCATAACAACAATAACTTGATTAGACTCAATGTTTTACCCACTAGTGATATAATTCTTGCAAATCTAAGTCTTGTAATTGTGAGGCACATGTACTTTCTATCTTATTTCATGTTTGCCATGAGCGAATGCACACTATTTATATATTTTTCTATATACTTATTATCCATAAGGACAATAATCTTCTATTGCCCAATATTTACAGATCTAAAATTATCGCAATTGTTATTACTTCTGTCTTGACTTTAACAATAAATGAGATTTTATTTTTGCTCTTATTTTCGATTTTTTCTTTATTTTCACATTCTTCCTAATCGCTATTTAAAGTTAGATCAAAATTATACCAACTCAAGCCAGATGAGAGGTTTTCATTCTCATCCTAAGTTGAAATACAACAGCACTATTGCATTTTGTATAGTAATATCTTAAAAATAATATTATTAAGCTTATGTTTAATTAATTAGATATAAACTAAGGGCCATTCACACGTCAATTCATAGAGAATGTACATGTCAGTATATTTTTTTGATAGAAAGGGTTCCACCTAATGTTAAAATGGTGCAAAAGGTGTTTAATAATGAATTTCCATATATAATAGAGATTTTCATTATAATAATTCATTTGTATTAGTTTTTTTATTTTTAAATTAGAGAAGATCCACAATATACATTATTCAAAATTTAATTACAATCTGAAGGGGGTTCTGATTAAGAGTTTTATTTCCATTTCAGAATTTTTGAATAATTTGTAAATAGTTGATATTTTATAAATATTTGGTGTTTAACTTATATTAAAATAAAAACGGGTTTAAAATCGGTTTTAATTATTTTTATGAACAAAATTTTTTTAACCTTCGTACTTGTTAGTGTCTGTTTGTGTTAAGAAGGTACTAAATCTATATATTCTAAGAAACTCTCATTTAACTCGAAAATGGAGTAAGTTTAACCAATCTAAATAAACTCATGACTATGGATTATGGCCAATTAGATTGTTAAGCAAATTTATTATAGGTTAGTCACTAATTAAAAATGTGGGCTGAACTATTTTAAGATGAGAAAGTGATTCATCATGAAATTCGATTATTGAGTACTGCTCATAAAATACTTAATCAACAAAAGTTTAATAGATTGAGAAACACAAGTACATTGTTTAAATTAAATGGTAGACACTGTGCAAAGAGCAAAGAGAGTACTTGCTGCCTTGAGACACAATACACATAAGAGATAACATACAATTTATTAGTAATGGAGAGCAAATGAAATAGATTAATTGAAACATTCAATCTAATTATTACAAACAGCAACAAGTATACATTTTTATTAATATAATGTTTAGATCAAGATGAAAGCAAATAATGCTGTGATAGAATTGAGTAATTGATCAACAAGTTTTTGGATGAGAGAAAACATATTGCTAAATAATGTGGAAATGCTGATGTAAATATCAATTATACTGTTAGGTTACAATCAATATTATTAATGACAACGAAGGTAAAATCCAAGTGATCAATAAGAAATGCCATGAAGGTGACGCTGATGTTAAAATAAATAGAGTGGATTCTATTGATAAAGTTATTGTTGGATAAGCATAATAATAAAAGAAACAAGAAGTTGTTGTTGAAGAGCACCATGAAGAACATCATGAAGAACACCATGAATAATAAGTCGTTGAAGAACACCATGAATAATAAGTCGTTTAAGAACACAAAGAAGAACACCATGAAGAACACAAAGAAGAACATCATGAAGAGCATCATGAGGAACACCATGAATAAACTGAGACTGTGACCAAGGAAACAGTTGAACATGAAGAAGAGGAAGAAGAAACAGAGGAGGTAGTCATTGAGGAAACAGTAACTAAAACTACTACACACAAAGTTGAAGAAATCCCTGATGACGACGATGATGTTGTTGAAGGAGAATTGGTTTCAGCTTAAGGTGTAGGAGCAAGTGGAGAAGGAGGTAGAACCTGATTAAGTTAATATTAACAATAAATAAATATATATGTTAAATAATCTTGTCATATATATATAGTGAGGAATCTTAATTATAATAAAAATTAATATAGAATATGTCATTGGAGGACAAACAGCAGTTTTTGGTTGAAGAAATCATCAATAAGGGATATGATAGTGAAGACTTTACTAAGTATATGGATAGGAAGAAAGAAAACGGGGGCTAAGATTTGGATATCTGGTTGATGGATGAATTAAGACAAGCAGTCAATGATTATCAAAAAATGAAGAATGCCATGATGTAAATCGTTGATGATGATATTGGATTCAAGAGGAAGATTGATTGCTAAAAACTTATTGGAACAGAAGTGGGTAACACAAATAATGTGTAAATTACAATTGACTAGTACATTACATATTAATAATAGCTTTGACAAGAAGGATACAGGATTCTTTAGTCTTAGTAAGTCATACGTAAACTATAGAATTGTTACATAACCCTTCTAATGGACTGTTACCAGAAGGTATTCAGATTTCGAATGGTTAAGAGAAATCTTAACCAAATAATATCCTGGAGTATTTGTACCTCCTATAGCCAATAAAACTCCAACTAGATAATTCAGCGATGCTTACTTACTTAAAAGGATGAAATTCTTAGAAGTAATTATGAAATTCCTAAGTTTATAGAAATTCTTAAATCATTTACTTAATTCAACCATTCTCAAGAATGACAAATACTTTTGTGAATTCTTAAGAATGCAAGATGAAAAAGAATTCAAAACTCTCCAAACTGCTTCAGAGAAAGTTCAAAAAACCACTAAGTTAGATAAGGTTATCAGCGAGACAGGATAAATTGAGGTAGCCTTTAATCCTTAAACTGATAATTATATAAAAGCAGCTGGTAATTTAATGACGAGTTTAAATTTGGACTTTGACGTGTAAGTTAAATATTTATTATTTAGAATTATGAAATAATCAAAAAAATTGTTATAGGATTTTGAAATAATATCAGCTACTATGTTTTAGATGGGGGAATCTTTTGAAGTGCTTACCAATCATATTAATTAATTTAATGCTACTGTTCAAGAACCTGAGAAAGTATTGAAGTTCGAAGCAGTTACCATCACATTGAATAATATGATGATGATATGGGGTAGAAACTTTTAGAATTATATGATTTATATCTAAGACAACTTTAGAAACTTCTTTAAATATCACGACAAAGAAATTGTTTAATTAAAGGAGCATCTACTATTAAGATAATAAAGTTAAGCTGAGTATTAAAAATATAAGGAAAGATTGGATTTAAAAAAAGAAAAGTTTTATCAATTGAAAGAGTTTAATAAATGGGAAGTATCTAAAGAAGTTTTAGACGAATTAAAGTTAAATATCGACAATAAAAAGTATTGTTTGAGTGTTATGCTACCTAAAGAAACATCATAGTAGAATGACTTAAGAGACACATATGCTTATTACAATCTATCAACATACAATGAAATTAGGAGAGTCTTTGATTAGAACATTGACATTTATGCAAAACATTTTATAAAATTTGCTGATAATCAAGCTAACAATTTGACGAAGGTAACAAATTTATGCTGATTTTAGATGCATGTGACTTGGGCTGATATCCAAGGCAATTTATAAGGATTGGATTTAATAACATAACATGATTAAAAAGTTTAAATTATGCAGTAGCCAAAACCTAAGGGTTGAAATTTAGATGTTTTTAGTAATTAATCAAAAAATTATCTTATTTATGTCTTTCTCTATTCTTCAAACATCTACGTTAATATTTTTTAGATAATTCATTAACTATAAATATAATCTTAAACATAAATGATTATAATCATTATCCTTAATTATCTTATTTAATTGAATTTGCAAATTCTTTTTTTTCAAATTTATGGTTTCGAATGAGTTTTTGATATTATGAGATTAATAGTAAAAATCAAAATCATTTTAATAAATAATGAATTCAAGCAATGCTGTTTTAGAAAAAACTTCTCGATCTCAGATGTAGATTAATGATGTGAACTCTTGGTTAAGAAGAAGGTAATTATATATTTATGTATTTAAGGCATTTCAATAAAGTAAAACAACAGTATCTCTTACATCCTGATTAGATTAAATAAGAATAGGTTATAAAGAAAATATTCATCAATTTTGACAGGGATAAATCAAGTATGATATTGTTTCAATTCAATAGAAAATATTGATATTGGTGAAATGTATGATATGTTTTAAAAATATGGGTTTGGAGTGACAGAAAAATAACTTAAAGATTTTTTTAGAGTGGTTGATAAGGATAAGGATAGTATAATTAAAATGATAAATTAGATGCTTTGAATTGGGATGAATTTAAAAACTCTGTCATAGATGCTGATGCTTCGAAAAGTATAAAAATCTATCATTTCTTCTAGTCTTCTATAACATCATTAAAGAAGTCAGACAAAATTCAAATGTTGAATCTTCTAGTAATTTTGGATATATTCCATTTTAATTTAATGACATGATAAGCTATTTAAATTATTTAATAAGTAGAAATGAATTATAAGAATCCATCAAGGTACTAATCTGCTAAATTCATAGCAAAACTCATTAACAACTTATGAAAAGTTTCAATAGTACCTCCAGTTGATCTAACTGAATTAGAACTAGAATTAAAACTATAACTATCAATAACACACTCATCGAATAAATGAAGAAATGAAGGAACAAACATAGGACGAACTCGAATTTACCAAAATTAACTCCAATAAATTCACTTATTCAAAAACATCATGTAATTATTATTATGAAACTTAAAATAGTTTATAATACAAATGACTTACCTTTATTATTGAAATTGAAATCAAATAAAAAGTAAAATGTTTAAAAAGACCATAATATGAGGACCAGCATTGATTCCTAATAGACTTATCTTTCTAATTAATTTAGTTTACAAACCAACCCTAAATCAGATAGGTTCATAAATTAAAAAATGACTAATAATCATATCCTAATCTTGAATACCTCATCATAACATAAAATGCCTCCAAGTGACAAATACAACAAATCTTAAAATATCGACTCCAATGCGAAATCGACACCCTATTTATAATTAAATATAAATACGATTAATTCAAGTTATAGAGAACACTTTTAAACTGAACCCAATAATAATAATAAGTAGGATTCCAATAATAAAATTGATCATCTTCCAATTACTTTGATTAACGAATTACAGAAGTTTTAAATCTTATCTGGAAACCACAAAAGAAGACATACTAATCTTATCAAAACTTCGCAAAATAAATAAGGTGACGTTAATCCAAAAAAGTTGACATCATTATTAAAAACTTCAGCAGATGTACATCAACTAATAAATATTTAGTTCAATCCTCATTCTCCAAGTAATAGTAAATTATGTACACCTAGATTCTTGAGAGATGAGAAATGTATAACTTACAGAAAAACTACCAATAGGCCTATTTTCTAAACCTATTCTTAGTATAATAAATCAGAGAAACCACTATGTGTTACTTTAAAGGGCAAATCTTTGTAAATAAAATGAAGTGTTTAAATACTTTAATAAATAAAGAATTATGATTTTTAATTATTTTGCATTTTCTTAATTAGTTCTTTAATTTAATTGTCATTATTTTTGATTATCCCAATGTAACAATTATTCTAAAATTTCGTTATACATTAATGATTTTATTGAGTTTTTAATAAGATTGTTTTAAATAATATATTATTAGGTATTGCTAAGTTTTAGACTACTTTAAGATAATATATATGAAAACTAAAAGGAATTTTAATAGCTATCCTGCGAATTTAAAATTTTAAACTAAATTTTAATAATCCTATTATGTATTTTAGTTATAATTCGATATAATTCTGAATTATATTATTATTTATTTTCTTTTCAAATAATTGTAATTTCTGATAAAGTATTTCTACTTTCTGAAATTAATTAAAATCTATAACTATTCAATCCTTTAGAGCAGTCTATTAAAAACTTATTTTTCGAAAATTTGAAATATGTATAGATATCCCTTCTAGAGTTAAATATAATAAACACTTGAATAATCTAGATCAGTAAAATTTTTATTCATCTGTTTAGAAATTGAACTTATCAAAAGAAAAAGAATGAGATGACTACAACTAAAGCTAGCCTTCCTTATATAAATTAATACTCTTGCTATTAGATGTCTGTTTAACAGGTTCTAATATTCTGTCTTACTTTAAGAATGATGGCAAAGATATTTTTAAGTCAGAATATCTGTTGATACATATTCTTCAATAGGTCAAGGATGTACAAGATGATGAATATTTTTTAATTTATCACAATAAAAAAAACCCTTAAGATTTTCTCGCTTCAATCTTAAATCAGTCTAATTAGCAAGAGGTTTTCTTAATTCTTGAAATTTTATAGGCATTACTTGTTGTCTAATTGTAAAGTTTAACTGAAAACATTAGCAACCTTATATAAAAATCTAATATCTATCCATCACTATTTTATCTATAATATTAGGATGCCTCACTTTGATAGCAACGTATTCTCCATTTAATTTAGCTCTATATACTTGAAGCAATTAGCTTTACTTCAAATTCCCAAAAATATTCTTTTATTTTCTTCCTAAAAGCTTATTCAAATTATTAATTAGTCTTCTCTTTCTAATAAGGTGAAGTAGTATTTTTTAAGTATTCTAATGCCTTAATAATATCATCTTCCTCAATGACTAGCCCATTGTCCATGATCTCTAAAATACTGACATTTACTTTTTATTCTTTTCTCCATTTTGCATTTACTTATACCTTTCTTTGCCTTATCTGTAAAAAATATATTAAAAACCAACTCCTAGACTTAATCCTATTTTGTTATGGTATGATTTATTCGAATGTGTAAATGGAAATTTAAGAAATTTATATATTATAATTTATTTAAAAATCAAAAAGTAAATTTCCAATTGATTTCTATTTATATGTTACTATAATTTGTCTTTCCTTCTTCTCTTATCTAGTTTCAAAATAGAAAATTAATTATCTTCATTCATAAAGAGAGATTTATCAAATCAACCACCCTATTATTAGAATAGTTAAGATATCAGTCTTAACCAGCAACTCTGATTTTTATTCTCCTTTTGGTACTTCTATTTTTCACTCACTATAATCATATAAATATATATAAAATTCGCCGATTAATGAAAACATATCTACAATTAAAATAGATCATCCTTTATTTTACTAATGTGTTTAATCCAATAGAAGTTTCAGGTTTTAAAATCCTTTATATGGAGTTTCAGAATATATCCTTAAAAATAAATTAAATCATTCCTTACAAATATCTATTAGAATCTTATAGACTTTTACAAAACTAACATATCAATTTAATATTAAAGATTTTTTGCAACACTGATTGGTGTTTACAAATTTGAACTAGACTTCAAAAAAAATTTTCTAAGCAATCAGAATAATTAAAGAGTGTTTGAGTAAGCTTTAATTAATAAAAGCTAAATTCTAAATAACCTTTATGTAGTTATAGATGTGGTTGTATAATTTTATTTTATGGAATAAGATACTTGATTACTCAGAAAATTAAAATAATATTTATGGAGTGATGCTAAATGCAAAACAGCAATAATATCAGCAATAATATCAGTATTTAAATTAATTGAACAATTACTCCAAGAGAGGAGAATTCTTAGAGATAATATAATTATAAATGATATTTATAATTGGTAGGTAGGTAAAAAATTAGTTAGAATCATTAGTTTTCAACAACCTAAAAATCTGAAAATACAATTCTTTCCTTTTTTGATATCATCAATATCTTTGGATTACTTTTTCTATTTTAATGGACTGTAGCTGTATTAGTTGCTGTAATCATGAGTAGATTTTCTTTTTGTATATTTATTATTAAATGTCATATGAACAAGGGAAAATGTAAAGTTATCTGTCTATTCAAGTCTGAGATCAGTTTCAAAGGATGGATAATCTGTTTAAGGTTATCCATTTTTTTAAGCAATATATAATTCATAATTTTAAGGGTTTTAATCAAGAGGGTTATTTGCGCTGGCTATTTATAAGACTCGGCTGATAGCATATATAAGCTCAGTTTCAGGAGGTAATTCTATATAGACATTAATAATTTATTATTCATTATTTAAGTAGAATCTATATGGCTTAGTAATTGATTCATAATTCATTAAGATGTTTTTTAGTTTAAAGCCTGTTGTATTGGTACTGCCAGTGTTTGACATGAATAGCTTTATTAATTATTTTATTTATTTACGCATTTTTAAACTAGTTAAGATTTATTATAAATTATTTTATTTTAATAAGATGACATTATAAAATCACATTTGTTGAGTTTACCACAACAAAAAAATACTTCATTACATTAAACTCTCTTATATTCAAAGTAATCTATATTTATTTGATAAAGTACCTTTTCTAGTCATTATACTTTAAATGATAGTTGTAAACTATTAGTTAATTGTGCTTACTAAATGAACTAAGTATGTTTTAACAAATAAAAGATGTATTGTTATAAGAAAATTTCCTTTAATAGATATCCATAAACTATAAATTAAAGCTATTTCTAAGCGGTTTCTATTAATACATATTTGCATTCATTTTAATATTTGCTTGTTTTTATAAATGACTTTATCTCATTTTCCAATCTTCTACATTAATAACTTAGTATTAAAAAGGGAAATTGCTTATAATGATAAATATCAAGCTTTCTTATAATAGATTTATATAAAAATAATCTAAGATTTATTTCTTTAACCTATTTGACAAATATCTTTAATTTAGAATTCAGACTTATGTTATTTACCCTTCTAGTTTTCATGGCTTGAAATCTTTTTTTCTTCTTCTAATCCAAAATTTATTCATTATAAGTAAGATATTGAATTATAAAATAATATCCATAGGGTATATAATTATAATCATTTCTTAGATTTCTTTTTTTTACCTCTTGTTTTCTTTCCTGTATCAGGTATGTTAGCTAAAAGGATTCCAGGTTTAGGGAGTGGTACTTTTTGAGGATTTAAATGTCCTTATGGTATAACAAGGGACTTTTGCAGGATGGTTATAGGAACAAACCTTTTTTCAGAAGCCAATCTATTCTTTAAGACATTAATTTCACTAATCTATGATGATATTAGTTTAGAATACTTATTAATCGATATCTGATTTGATGCTATGGCTTTTGAAGACAGTACTAAATTATTTGGAAGGTTGGACACTTCTGAAACAACTGGAAGATAAAGAACGATTATTTTAAATCTTTTCAGCACTAGGGTGATTAGGAACACCTCCAGGCAACCAACTTCCTCTTGATCTTTTCAGGAAGTAGAGTCTTTAGGAATTAATTCTTTATTCCAAGTAAGCATTTTTAGATTAGAAATCCTCTGCCTCATCATCAACCTATGTGGGTAATACTGTATTTTCAATAACTTTGGTTATGGGGAGAGAACTTGAAATGTTTCTGCCTTTGTGATAAGATGTTTTATTAAGATAATTAGCATAGGCTTTTTCTTCAGCAAGATCCATCTTTTTAGATTCATAGATATCAGAAACTTTGATGCCAATATTCGAGAACTGAGATCCCATAGATGATAGCTATGATTATCATACATTTTTATACATATTCAGACTGGAGTATAATTTCATCAATTCTACCTTTGTTTGCTGCCCAATCTTTCATGTTTTAAACCATTTCAATATCTTCTCTTTGTTCTTTTAATTCTTTAATTCTTTATTCTTGATAATATTGATTAAGTCTGATTGCAGCCATCTTGTCTTCTAAATTAGTTGGATCATAATTATGAAATATTCCTTATAGTTCTCCAAGACGTTGATTTTATCCAATTTAATAGGCTAATTCAGTGTCCTTATCAGTTTTATAAGTCCTTCGATCAGGTGCAATACTAACATATTTATCTGCTCTTTCTTTTTTCTTTTTTTTTTTCTTGGGTGAAAGATCCACCTAAGATTAGATATTTTTTTAAGAGCCGTCGAATTTGTCAGGAGATTACTCTTCTTCTTCATCTTATTCTTACTCAATGCCTTCCATTTAGTCTCTATCAGTAGGTTTGTCAGCTTTGAGAGGAGATTCCTCTCTTGGAATTTGACGTCTTGTGCTTTTTTGTTATTCCTCGAAAGTTTCAAAAACAGGGAAATTAGTATCATACATCCAAGAAGATTATTACTTAGAAACAGAATATTACTGATTGGTTCTTGGTCTTGACAATTTATCAATTTAATCAATCATTTTATAAGTAGTTTATGAGGTTTAAGGTCTTGTGTATTGAGAGAAGCCCATAATACCTGGAGTAGTGCCAGGTCTTGTGCTTGTATCAGAGAGTAGGTTTTTTCTGTGATAGCTTTTTACTCTGTCTTCAGGTGGATCTATGTCTGGATGCATTGATCTATTCTTTGATTTAAAATCTTCAATTCCAGAAGCATACATGCTTTCATTATAAGCAGTTGGTATATATTACAAAGTCTGAGAATTATGTATATATAAGTTACATTGTCCTTCTTTTCAATAAGAGACTATGTTAATTATTATTTTTAGGATTTTGGCAATTAACGAAAGAACCAAGTAGATACATTTTTAAGAAATTCTAGTTACTGCTACCTATTTCTAGTGCTGACAACTTCAAGTAAGGAATTCTTCAATTATCTATAGAGGTTCTCATAGACAAAAGGGTCTTTTAATTCTATTTATTATGCTCGATGCAGTGTCACTCTTTCATTCCAAGTCATTATTTCCTATTTAAGCATCTAGAATATTTGATTATTATTCAAGTATCCAGAGGTTAATCCATCGAGATCAATCTTTAAGAATTAGTTATATAACTACAATTGATAGGACAGGACGCTCGTTGAGTCTGTTGATGTCTTCGATCTTGTATCCAGTTCTTGAGAGACGTTCATTTAATTGTTGCTCGATGCTTAATGGAGGTTAGACAAGAGGCTTACCATTTAGGTAAAATGATCTCTCCATTTTCATTTTAATTTATTATTTAATATTTCTTATTGTATTTGTTGTCTGATGGAAACCTTACAATACATGATATATAAAATCATTTCTGTGGTTGTTGCCATTGATAGTTTTGATACTGTTGATATTAAGGGTACTGCTGATATTGTTGATAATCATAATATTGATATTGATAATAAGGATAGTATTATTGTTGATTTCTTTGTTATTGCATCTAATATTTGTATTGTCTCAATGCTTATTCTCTTTCATCAATGACTGTGAAATCATTGAGGATACTCTTTTTGTCTGCAAACTCTTCAAAGATTTTCATCATTTCTTTTCCTGTTTCCCAGTTCAAAAACACTCCATCTCTTGATCGAGTTACTTCTACATTATCACTATTAATGAATTCTGATTAATTACCTATTTTTCAGATGCTCAAAATGCTTGTTAGGCACATCCTTCACGTACAACCATTAGACATTGAAATGACCCTTCCATTTCTTGATTTCCCACCAATACTGGAAGCTTTCATCTTTATAACCTGAAGTCAATTTGGCAACTCCCACAAATTATCCACTTCTAACAACGCTGAAAAACAAGTAAACTGATTTGCCATATTCTTGTGCTTCCAAGAATTTGGCATTGAGTTTCTCATTATTTTCTTTGCTTGATGTCCAAATCCCATATTTTATTGACTATAAATATATAATTTATCAATCCCTTACTTTATGAATATCATCGTCATTATTACTACGAAGTATGTAAGCATATGCCTCTGTATCTGCTAAATTTCTATTCGCTTGATTAATTTGTTTCAAAGCAGGGATTAATTTCGATGCTTATTCTAAATTAGTATAATCTTGGCATGATATGTAAGGCACTTTTAAATCTCTTTTATTTCTGACATATGGTTCATAATGATTATTCATTAATTTTTAATTAAATTTAAATAATCAATTAACAAATAAATATACATTCCCTCTTCCATTTTCATTTAGATTTGTTATAGTTTTAAAATTACTCTTGATAATTAAAATTATACAATATTTATGAAAAATTCCAAAAAAACCCTACTCATTGTAAGCGTGGTTTTGCAGGAATGCCGATCCTCACTCAGACCTATAAACGATTCAACAATGTCTTATCTGCTGAAAGTCATATTTAGAAGTAATTAAAACCCATGATTTCAAGTTCATACCATCGATCTTCAATGCTTTTACTCATCCAGACTCCATTTACAATCCGACTCTACAATTCAAATAGGTTAAATTTGGAGTCAAATTAGTATATAAAATGTGTAATTTCACATTGAAGATAATATATCATATAATCTATGAGACAAAATTGAAGTAGATTATTTTACTATTACAATTGGTTCTATCTACACAAAGCCTATAAGTCTAGTATGCGTAAATTAGCAGGTAGATTTACATAGAATTACTGAGTTTAAAAAATTCAACAAAGGATTTTTGAATCTTAATCATTCTTATAGTTGGCTATGATGAGTTGAATTAGCATACGAATCAAAGCCTCTTATAAATAGAAAACTGAAGCTCTAATTACACTGAAATGTAGGGGTGATTAATTTCTTATAATTTGAAGCATCCCTCTAAGCAGATTTAATCATATAGGAAACCTAACACCTATATAATATCCTTATTTGGATGAAAGACAGACTTTGAATTTGAAACTTTCTCTTTCGGGGGTTTCATCCTTGCTTGATGAAACATTTGTTTAAGGATGTGGTAGTCAATGATTTTAGAGTCTTAGAGGAGTTATCGGATTAAAAACCATTCATTAGTTTATGATTTACATTTTCTTTATGATACTTTATTTTTATATGACTATATATTTGCTATTAGTTACTTCTTCTTGGGAAGTAATGAAAGATCAAAGGGTTAAACTAAAAAGATTTTAATACTTTTTTGAGAATTCAAAAAACAATGATGATATTTTATTGCATTTATTTACATTATAATAAACATTATTAACTCAATAACTATTTGCAATTGACTATAAAGTATTTAGCATATGTTCGTATTAAGATTTAAGATCTCGAGAATTTAATAAAAATTATTCACTATTTGCTTTTAATTCATCATATTTTCTCTCCAAGAGTCTGAAATTCTCCTTCTCCTATTAAAGTTATTCTTATTAAGATTTAATTATCTGCTCATATCTAAAGTACTAAATTTTATATATACTTGCTCAGTATATTTGTGTTAGTCTAGTATATTTAGCTATTGATATTCTTTTGCTAATCTAATTCAGTCGATTACAATTCCTTTTCTTATTCATATTATTTTAATTTATATAATAGTTGTTAATTTAATTCTTAAAGTCTTTGCGTGTATTTTTTATTTTCTTTTAAGCAAGCCTCGCATTCTTAATACCTCTTTTCCCATTCCTTACATTATTTTTTTATTTCTTAAAAGCTCTCATTGTTGAATTCGGTTTTGGATGGTGTGGATGTAAAATTCTATTGTTTTGATAATAGTTCAATTTGCTTCTATTTCTTAGCCAGATCAATTTAGAGATTCTAAATAATAACATTTTTATCTTTGATTTCCTTTTCCATAGATTTTAAGGCTTCTCTAGTACCAGACAATCGCATTTCCAATGATTTTATTTGCTTTGTTGTATTTTCAATATTTTTTTGCGAATTCCTGTTACTCTAAATGTCAGCTATACTGCTACTTCTTTTATCCATATAATTATTGATGGAGTCTTACAGATTATCAATTATGGATTCCTAATTATTTTCAAATTTATAAGGACCTGGCTTATATGGAGATTCCAATAATCGATGAGGTTCAATTCGATTTGGCTATTCCTCCTCCGTTTCCTCATCAATTTTAGTCAAAATTCCTTTTTCATTTCTAAAATTCGGATTTACATTTTCATTATCGTTGTCATTCTCATTTTCTTCTTTTGGTTGTATTTGGTTAAATGAAAATCTTACTGCCTCCTACCTTAATAATTATTATAATTCCTATTCTAGAATCTTATTCTCTTCTTCTATTTATTTCAAAAAAGCAGAATTCATTTAATTTTTTAAATTTATAATACATCACTATAGACCCATTCTTATTTCATACAACCACTGCTAAAATTATTGAACTCTAGAATAACTCTAGTGGATAAGGTAAATATAAGACCAAATTTCCAATATAATTAATTTTTTATCCAATTATAGAGTGATTGAGACTTTCACACCCTTAAAACTAATCATTTGAAAAATGCTAACTAAATTTGCTTCAATTAAATTATATTTTTATTATATTTTAACAAGATGCTAAATAAACTATCAATTTTCCTATTGTAATTTCGAAGGCAATTAAAATACTATAGGACCATTAGTAACTTTATAATATTCATCCAATAAAGAGCAATTAGCAAATTTGATACCATCCTCTTCTGTAATACCATATCCTTCGTGAATATGTCCAAATAGATGATATTTTGCTTTTATCTGCTTAATCCTATTCAACAATTCCTTATCGCCAACATGTCCAGCATTATTAACATAATCACCATGGCCGTATGAAGGACCGTGGGTTACAACAATGTCACTTCCTTCTTCAATCTAGCTCCAAAACTTCTAAGCATCTTTGGGAAATAATTCAAAACCCCAATTACAAAACTCCAAAGAGTACGGGCTTCCCCAGATTTTATATCCCTCAACAACACATGAAGAGTTTAATAAATAAATGCATTAGTTTTAAAGGTCTTTGATTTCAGCTTAAAGCTGTGGATCCTTTAAATATTTTGGATACTTTATATTATCAAGAGTTAGATCATGATTTCCAGCAATCAAGATTTTATATTTAAATGGCTATTAGATTAACCACTATTTAAATTTCTTTATTCCATCGAGTTCTCCACAATTGGTAAAATCCCCACAATGGATCAAAACATCTCCTTAGGGTAAAGTTATAGTAGGTTTAACCGAGGAAGGATTAAGTAATCCATGAGTGTCACTAATGCAAACAAAGGTTATATTTTTTTACATTTTAATAATAATTCCCATAGTATTAACTTGGTTCTGAACTATTTATTTCTCTCATAATTAGAATTAATCAGTATTATGAAAAGTAATTATCATTTCAATTCATTTTAATAAAAGTACAAACAGGTTTTCAGTTGAAATTCTCCTATAAGAAAGAGGAGATAGTATTATATTATTGTAAATGGATTTTTTATACTTATTTATAAATATTTTAGAGACATTATTCAATTCAAAACTATGAGTTTTATTCATCAAATAAATAAAAAGGAGAATTTAATTTAACTTTCTTTTCATGATTTATGATAAGCATGAAAATAAGCTTAGTGGTTGAAAGTACTTAACAAGGTAATGATTTTTATAATATAAGACTTGGAGATTTTGGTTTAAAATTTCTTATGTATCGATGTAAAATGAATAAATAATAATTTAATTAAAAATTAGAGTATTGATATGCAATTTCCTATTAAATAGCTTAATTTTTGGCTATTCTAATATTATTGAAAGATCCATGAACTCTAGTATTATTTTCTTCTTAATTTTGTAATTTCAATTCGTTGCGAGTAGTTAAAAGGTTTAAGAGGACGAGATAGAATTTTGAATGTAATTGCACTCCTGATAGAATGTTGATATACTTAGATTCCTAAACTAAAAATAGAAGGATGAAATATAATAGTTATAATATATAATTTATGCAATAATAAACAATATCAGATTTCGATAATCTTGAACAAGAACATTAGTTGATTGATTAGGTGAATTAAAAGTCAAAATCAGCAAAGTTTAAATAGTACAAATAAGGATAATATTACGGAGACATTTAGAACAATGTTCGACATGGATATGGTAAATTGTTGAACTCATTATTATATTTTTAGGACTAATGACCTATCAGGATCGATATTATATTGGATGCTGGAAGAATGATAAAAAGCAAGGGTTCGGCAAGGAAGTACTGGATAAAGGGGATTTGTATGAAGGTCAGTTTGATGATGGAAAACCTAATGGTGAAGGCACATTGGAAACTGCAAATGGAATATATTCAGGGTAGTGGGTCTATGGAATTAAATAGGGGTTTGGCAAATGGAGAGGAAAAAACAATGAAGTCTATTCAGGAGAATGGAAATTAAATAAGGCTAATGGGTATGGAAGATATGATTATTAAGATGGAGGATGGTATGAAGGTGAGTTTAAGGATTATCTTAAATATGGTAAAGGCAAAGAAAGTTATGCCAATGGAGATTTTTACGATGGGGATTTTGTTAATGACAAACCTGAAGGATTTGGAGTATATAGATGGTCTGATGGTTCCTCTTATCACGGAACACTTTGTAGTGGAGTCAGACATGGCAAAGGGTATTGGCTAAAGAACGAAGACCCTTAAAATCATGAGAGTTATGACGGATAATATGTTAACGATTTGAAGTCAGGACATGGTGTTTATAGGTGGTCAAGTGGAAATGTATATGAAGGAGAATTCTTTAATGATCAAAGGCATGGATTTGGAGAGATGAGATGGGCGGATGGTTCTTATTATAAAGGTTAATTTTATAATGGGCAAATGAGTGGAGAAGGCGAATTGAAGAGAAACAATAAACCAGTTATTTATGGATACTTTGAAAATAATAAGCTGGCTAAAGAATAAAAATAGAAGTCAATTCCTAAAACTATTAATTATAGTACAAATCATAGTTATGAAGAGAGAAAAAATTATTATACCCTTCAATAATCATCTTTTAATTAACAATAAAACACTCAACAACTTTAGAAATTTCATTTTAAGTCTGAATCTATTGAGCCAATCTCCAAGTAAGTCAAAAAAAATTGCAATAGTTCCATAAATGACAATTAAAACTAATATCAACAAAATAGATTTAAAATTTCCATTGATTTTGAGGATCATTAAGGAATTTCTGCTCATTAAAAATTCAAAACTATAAGTGCAACAAATCGTCCTTTTTAGTCTCAGCAAGAGGGTTTATTATAAATTACTAATAGAGGCTAATCTATAAAAAAAGTTGTGATTGATAGTGTTAAATTTAAGAGAAGCCAAAATTCTTTTCGATTATAATCATTAAACCAATCTACAAGGTAAACTTCAAATTCTCTTCCAAAATAATCAATAAACTGATTTGTGTGAAATATTTATTTATGTATTCATTTTTCCATTGATATGACATAATTGATTAAAGAATTACTCATAATATATGTTAGGTAATTAAAAAGCAATTTTTAATTAAGAAATTTTCAGGATCATTTTAAAACATCATTCTTACAAAATATAAATTCAAAATTAAATAGAAAAATAGAGGGAGATATTTAAAAATACAATCTATTTTTATAAGGTTTCAAATCCTGGGGGGTTTAGAGAATTTTGATTCCCCTTTATTTAAGTATACAAATGGCTTTAATGTCTTGAGTCTATTTTTCTGTTTATGAATTATTTTTTAAAATCTCTATTGGCACTTTTCTATTTGATTAAGATTTCGAAAAATTTGCTGTTTAATTCAACAGAGTTATCAGGTCCTATTACCCAATCTATTCATAACGTATGTTTTTTCATATGCTCAAATCGATTTAAAGAGATTACTTTTAAATATCAGACTTTTAAAGGACTTATAGATATGGATTACTAAATTTTTTATATTAATACTCTATTGATACATAACATAAATCAAAATTTTTAATCCGAATTGCCAAAATCTTTGTGTTTCGATTATTAGTGTTCAAAAATTCTAATTGCTAATGTTTTCTTGTAATTTAAAACTGTTATCAAGTTATCCTCAAAAGGTATTAATTCAAGTATTCTTTTTTTACCAATTTGAGTCGCTAACACAGTTTATGCATCAAAATTCATTGATTATTAAATAATTATTTTCAATCAATTTTAGATATATACTTAATTAAGGCAAATAAACTATCTCGAATATTATTATTAATTAATTTTCAATTGTAATAAATCATTTATAATAACAAATGAATGATTTTGATAAATACTTTGAGTTAACTTTATATAAATGTAAATTATTCAATCAAAAAAGAAGAACATTTAAAAATATCTTTGCGAAAATTATAAATATCGATATATTTTATCCTGGAAAAGAATCTATGAATAAAGAGTAATTATTTCAAGATTCAAAATATTTTTTTACTTATTTTGAATTATTATTATAATTTATACATCCTAATTTAGCATTATAATTTTAAAACTAAATATATATTATTAAGAAAATATATAAACACAATTTCCAAACTTAACATTAATGATGTAAGTAAGGAAACTTATTTTGATGTATCATTGGCTTACTTTGAAACTTCGGATATTACTTGAAATTAAAAAGGCGAGAATACTACAATTACTTTGGTCTTTATATCAAGTCTATTTAAAAATCAAATAGAAATTTAATAAAATAATTAGATGATCAATATGAATTAGGCTTAAGGAATAAGTGTAATAGTTCTTTTTGTTCAACGTTTGTAGATGTTTAATTATTTTATTTAATTTTATTGAAATAAATTATATTTAACGATGAGTTCAACACTTAGATCTGATTAGATTATATATTTCGGAACTTCAAATACTCCACAAATTCCATGTAGATTTCATGAGGACTATATTATTCAAAATTTTTGCAAGAAATAGTACTAAATTTGAATAATAGTTTAGAGATTGCAGTTTACCAATGTGTCCAGAATGTATAAAGATTCATTAGGAAGAACATGAACAAGAAAGAGTAACCAGCGACATTGATTTATTTTCTAATTGTTTGACTGAATAATATAATAAGTCATTGGAATATCTTAATCTTTGGGCAATAGATGTTTAAGAATCCAGTAATTTATAAGAAGAGGTATAAAAGGCACAGGAAGTAAGTTGCATCTATAACATTCATAGTTTTAGCTCTAAAGGTTTTAGGAGGCTAAGAAACAATTTTATAAGGTTATAGACGACTATTTTAGAATTTTTGAATCTACAATTGCAAATGAAACCTAAAAATCAACTCAAGATTTAATTAAATTGGTTAGATCTAGACATAGAATAGAATATTTGGAATGGAAAACCTTACATGAAAATTTACAAAAACTCAACTCAGACAAGGTATTTAAAATTAATTTAATATAGTGCTTACCTCCATTAATTCAAATATATTCAGATCCAAGATAGTCACCTTAAGCAATCTATTTAAAAAATCATTAGGAGCATGTTGAATAATTAAATAAACTCAAATTAAACATTAGATAAGTGGTTGTTAATGATAATCTAAATTAAATCCTTACCTTATTAAAATAATATATTTACATAACAGCTCCTGTGTAGGATTCCTAAATTTAATAAGTATAAATTACTAATACTGTTTAACCAATTTTATAAACCTAGTAAATAGTGTAAGCTTAACCAATTGTGCAAAATTAAGCAGTTGTTTAAACTCAATCTATTGCGAATTAAGCAATAAATTAAAACAAATATCAATCTAGGGTTATATAACCTTTCAGTGCCATCAGAGAGTACACACCTTTATAACCTGTTTTGTATTAACAAACGCCAATGGTCCCTATTGAACCTTTACAAATATACCCTTAGCAGTTTTATCATCCACACCCTGTTTTATAAGAACCTATGGTAATGCCAGTTCTGACAGGTTAATAATCAACCCCTCCACAGATAATAAGATCTCCAGTAAAAAATTTATAACCAGTTCTTGAAGCAGGATCCTTAAATGGACAACTAAGAGAGACGATGGCACAAAGATATTATGATTAAATGTTAAAAAATGAAATAAAATGATTTATAATATGAATTATTATTATTATTTGCATATTATTTTAATATCTGAAGATATTGTCTTAATTTAGTTCGCTTTCATTTATAATAAGATGAATTATTATTTTTTTTGTAAATATTTAATGGCTTTATAAGTTTATGATCCTTTATTCCGTTATGTCATTAAAACATTTATGATTGTTAACTTGATTTTATTGTGACAATTTCATATAGAAATGTTACTTAATAAAACCCATTCATTTAAATAATTTATTAATAAAATAGCCTTTTTAAGATTTTTTTAAGAAAGCAAATTAAATTAAAAATCAAAATGAAGGATTAATTTAAGACTTAAAAATATTGGACGACCTTCTTAGGAAAAGTCATTACATTCTTAATATATTTGATTATATAAAATAAATTAAAGTCTCATCTAGATAGCTCTAATATGAATCTTTATATCTGAAAAAAAATTCAAATTAATAATATTAATGGATTTAAATTATGGTATAGCATTCTTTAAAATAGTAAATAACATAATATAAATATCAGAATTCAAAGTAATTGATATAAATAAATCTCGATGTGTAGTTTGAACAACTCATTATTAGTAGGTAGCTAAAACGAATAGGGCTTATATAAATTGTATCAAATGAGTAAAATTAGAGTACGCTATAAAAATGAAGACATAGATTGATATAGATTTAATGATTGAAAACAATTTATATATATGTATTTATTGAATTGTAAGTTAGCTAAATATTAAAAATTTTAAATTATTTATATTACTATGAAAAGTAAGGAAATGGATGCTCCTCCACTGAGTGAAGATGAATTAAATGAAATTTACAATTGGGTTGATACTGTACCATTGTCGAGACCAAAAAAACACATAGGTAGGGATTTTGCCGATGGAGTTTTAATTGCAGAAATAATTTAACACTATGTTCCTTCAATGATAGATATACATAATTATAGTATGGCTCATTCTGTTTAATAAAAATAATATAATTGGAATACATTGAATGCCAAGGTTATGTGAATCATGATTTATAGGTGTTTAGAAAGATGGGTTTCCAAATTACTCAGAAAGATATCGATGCAGTTATTTAGGTAGTGCCTGAAGCAATAGAGAGAATTTTAAAAGTGATACAAGTAAAATTAGATATGTTTTTGGATCACTAAGAATAAAATTAAGTGTAAAAACATGATAAGCCAAATGAAGTGTAAAAAAATTAAAATTAAGTGAACAATCCAAAGCCAGGAGTCAACAATAAATAGAATGACAAGGATTTAGTTATTTAAGATTAACAAGAAACAATAGAAATACTTGAACTTAAAATATAGAAACTAGAATAATTAGTGAAATTAAAAGACAGTAAAATACAATAGTTAACTTAAAAACTATAATAAGCAGGAATAAAATGATATAGTTACTCATATATCAGCCACACAAATTTTAGAAATAATTTTTTTCTGTGTCACTTTAATTACTGCTTGTATCACTTTTGTCAAGATCATTTTAATCATCATTGTATTTCTAATTTCTTACGATATTTTGTTCTATTTCTTCATCATCTGGAGTTACATCTTAAGGCTGATTTTACATTTTCTAAAAAATTGACATTCTTTATTTTTTTATGGGTTCCTGTTATTCTAAATTATTTATAATTAATGGAGAACTTTGAGGTGTTGTATTTGGTGTTCGTCTTTATTTTATTGAATTCATTTCTATACTGATTTTTTACAGTATAGCATTACCCTTATCATCTTCCAAATTAGATTGATCAACCTATGAAGTACTAGATAATTATATGGTACTGGATTTATTTGGTCGCCTAGTAGGTTTTTGATAAAAATGCTCCTATTTTTCTTAAGGATCAGTTTTCATCTTGAGACCCAATTATTTAAGATAGGTGACAATAATTTGCTCTTTTTTAATCCATTCATTTTCAGGATGCTAACTACTCAATATTTGCATTTCAAAAGAATCATCAGTTTGCTAATTTGATGTATAGAGATTTTGTCCATCATAATAGGTTTAATTTTGCTAATGAACATTTTGGTCAGCTGCAATTGTGTTTTCTTCTGAATTAATTGTTGTTTCACGCGACAAATATTAAGCCGTATTCATACAAAGTAAAACTCTGAATGATGAATGAATTTTAATATATTTATTAATATCATTAAACCTTACACAATCAATGCTGAAATTCCTGCATAATTGAGATTTTTATGAATGAAATACAAATTTGACCTTTACAAAAATATTTCATAAATTCTTAATGCTAAAATATATAAATAGAAGTCTCTCAATAATAAGATATCCAAAATACCAAAAACTCAATCTATTTATTTCATAATATGTGAGATCGATTAAGAATGTCAATATTATTATTTTTAAATTACTCAAATTTTGAAATAATTAAAATTACAAAAATATGGTAATTTCTAAGATTTTAAAGAGTTTAATTACAATATTCAAAATTCATCTGATGGTTCGACTTCCCAACCCGTAGCTCCAAATCTCTCTTATATGGCTATTAGAGACTTGACCTTTATTTTGTCGAGATTTGGACTTGGTTAATTAATCGAACTATTAATTGTATATTAAGTTTCTGCTCGGTGTTTTCTGACTAGTTTCCTTTATGGATAAATTGACTTTTGAAAAGGGAAAATCAAATTATCACATGAATCTTTTTAAGAGGGAATCGACTGAAAAATTTAAGAATTACCATAGTTAATATTATCTAATTGCTTCGAATACTTTTAGAAAACCATCTTATTTGCCATTTAATTATTATCATCAGTAATTGAACTACATCTTGTTTTTATAATATCTAAAAATTTGATTTTAAAAGGAGACAGCTTCTTTTCTGACTCTAATTAATTTTTGGCAAAGATTATGGTTCTTTTCTTCATTTTCATTCGATCTGATTCTTCAGGAAACTGATACTTCGTTTTGAGTAATGCCATTCTAGTTGATTTTTTAAGCAGCTCTAAATTGATAGCACAATTAAATCTAAATCCTATTGACTTCTGAGATGGAGAAACCTTATTGCTTTTCTAATTCATTGCGGAATAATATTTATTTATTGTTATATATTATTACTATTAAAAATAAAAAACAAAACCATATTTTTGAATCAAATTCTAATAAATCTATCATTTCATTGACACATTCACTTTCCTAAACTTGGTCTTCACAGCCTATTCTTATGCTATATTCTTCAATAAGGATTTATTGTGTAATAGTTCCATATTAGACATTTTTTCATGAGCACTCTTATTTTTACTTTCTTCAATTTGTTTCCTAATATCTTCTTAGTTTTATTTATAATTATTTTTGATAGACTAAAATAAACTACAACAAATTACAAGTTGTTTTTCCTTTTCTTTTTAAGAGTGATTCATGAGATCAAATTGTTGTTTGAGTAATAGCAACTTTTATTCCTCCTCTTCTGATAATTTTTTCTGTTATTTCTGTTAAATTTGTAATTACAATTATTGTTTCACTAATTCCATTTTTTCTTTTTCCTTTAATTTCTTATACTATTGTTGTTGTTTATCTAATTCCTCTTATTTTTTTAGTTACTCCAACATATACTTTCCTTCGTTCTCCTCATTTTCCTTTTATTTACTCAATACCTAATGACTGTAATTACTCATGAATTATTTGATTTTATCATCCCTATCCCTCTTTTATTATTCTCTCCTTTCATCATCTTATATCATTTTCTATAATTATTATTATTACAATTTAGTATCTATTTCTTTTTATAGTTTCAGTTCCTCTTATGCCTATTCTTACTCTAATAATATTACCTTATGACGCAACTATTCATTTTCTTTTAAAATCTATTAAAATTTATCTTTTTACTCCTATCTCTTTTTATTTAATTCTTAAGATTCTCTACTTATTTCATTTTTTAGCTACTAAAGCATCTCATCATCTTACAATTTTGATTACTTCTAACTTTCCCTCCTAATCTAATAGATTATAAGAGTTACCTCTTATGCTTTTCTTATTAGACTTACTCATCTCTTAATTTCCTTTCTTCTAATTGTTTAAGCTTCATCTATTCCTTTTTCTATTTTTCATATTATTCAAATTCCTATTTCCTTTATTGATGTAATTAATTAAATTAAGCTTCTTTCAAGGCTTCTTCTTTTTTTATCTATTCCTTCTCTTTCAATTACCTATCTAAGTCATCTTTTAATTTTTGTCTCAATTATTATTCTCTCCTTTTTTTCTCTTCTTGTTCTTTCTAATACAAGGCTGAATCATGTTTAATGATAGCTGCCCATTCATCTAATTCATCATCCTCCAATTTATAAACAGATTTCTATTTATTTTCAGATGTTAATGAGTCTAATCTTGGAATTTCTACAGGATTGTTCTTGCTTTAACATTTTTATTGCTCCTATCCTTAAGTAATAGCTTTTGTATTTTATTTAGAGTTATTTTCATTGTTTTAGTTATCTTCCTTATTTTGTAACTATTGAGTATTGGATGGCTATTTTAAGGATTTTATTATTGCTTCTTTTTCTAGTTGTGATTTCTTGACTGCTTCTTTTATCTCAGCTTTCAAAGCTCTTACACAACTGTCATTAAAGGAGGTGTATTTGGAACTGTAATCATGGACATAACATTGGATTAGCTTATTAGAATTTATTAAATACTTCGGTATCTATTGGTTTGGTGCTGAATTCCCTTATTAATTTATTCAGTATGAAATCTGAAATGGTGGAAGATTGCTTTGGCTTGTCTTATTTTTTTATTTATCTCGGATACATCTCTATAAATATGTTAATATATTGAAAGAATTTTATGAAAAGTATGAAATTTACAAATACAAAAATCATTGTAAATTAATCAAATTTTCAATAAGATTTACAAAATTTTTTGATACATTTTCAAGAACTTTAATTTAATCTGCTGCATGATGTCTTTTTTCATTCTCAACATTTTTGTGCGTAATCTTCATTAAATTTAAATTACTACCAGAATTTTATTCTTCATTTATGTTTTAGTATGATATTTGTAATCCATCAATTTCTTTAATTTAGTTTGTATGTCCACATATATCTTCTTTTTCAGTCGAATATCGATTTGTTGATCCAAAGGTAATTTATATATCTGAGGGTTCTCAATAGGATTTTCATCATTTTAGCCTTTTATCACTCCAAGATCTTATAGAATGAAAGGATTAGTCTTGTATTTGATATCATGAAAAATATCTTAAGGATGTATTTTTTTATTTCTAATAAAATCAAAGCACTTGCTTTCCGATTTAACTATTAAATTATTAAATCACAAAGTTTTACATGAATGTTTAGGAGTATATACTTCTACTTCAAATTCTTAAGTTGATAAAATCTCTTATTGAATTCGTAATCCATCAACTTACATTGTGGAGAATAATTTAATATGAGGGTTGGTTTCAAAAATGGAGCTTCTTCTTGTCGATGAGGTCTTGGATTCATTAAAGGTTCTAGGATTGATCATCATGAGAGATTCGTTCTGTATTTCTTATTACGAGATTGACAAAATATCTTGAGGAAGAGGTAGATTTAATCGATTCAGGAGAGGAGTATTTATGGTTTCAGCATAATTTCTGTTGAAATTTTTATTTAAGAAGACTTTGAGTGTATCTGAACTCATTTAACGCAAAGGAGAACTCTCAATTTCATAGTCATAAGTAATAGCTCTTTCATGATAATATTTAGACTTAATAAATAAAAGTTATACTTTTTCAATGTCTCCGAGGTAATAATAGCAAACACCCAATTTTGTGTAAACTTCATTTTCATAATCTAAGTCATTGTTTAACCAAGAATATTGTAGACATTTCTTAAAGAACTTGATTCCAATCTCATATTGTTGCATTTTGATTGAACAATTTCCAAGTCCAATCAAAGATTTCATTTTGTATTTATCCATTGTTTATTTTGCATAATTAGCCATAATTCTGGTTTAATTATGATAAAAGATGGCCCAGTCAAGTTATGATGTTAATTCGAGCATAGAGGCTGCGAAAGTAAGGGTTTCAATTAGTGCGATTGGAGATAAGGTTCCTATGGAGAATGTTAAAATTTGTTATGAGAAATCAATTAGCTAATTGAAATGCGATTATTACTTAAGTTTCAACTTTGGATTTGACCAAGTCCATCAAATGTTTTTGTTACTTGTAAAGGTAAAATAGATAATTTTTTAATCCGATATTAGATATATTCAATATTTTAAAATAGATAACTTATTGCTTGACTTAAGGATCGAATTTCATTCTCCTTTTCACTTCATTAGAATCAATATTTTCTTAGGTGACAATTAATTGTTTCTATTGAGATCTGCTACCCTATTGAAAGAGTCTATTTTTTGGTGCTGGTATTGCAGTTCTATTGGTTTCTTGTGGCGATGAGTCTTGTTTGTTGTCTAAACTAAATTGTGAGTCCACTCTTCTTATAAGATTATTTCTGCTTGAATGAAAAGTTGATCTCATTTTAATTTGACCTCTAAAAGCAGAGCTAGAACCTGAATCATATTCTGCTTCATTCATTCTGTGTGTAGAATATCCAGTTCGTTGAGTTGTGTTGTAGGTTGTTCCACTCTGTAATCTCGATTGTTGCGATAACGACTATTAGGAATTTTGTGATTGCTTTATAAGTACATTCTTTAATCTATCCAAATTTATTCACTAATTCTTACTTTTAAGAGTCTACTAATTTGAATTAGACTGCACTCCTCAGTCGTTTTTCTTAACTATCATTAGTTTTTAATTTCAGAGCAGATGAAATTGGCCGCATCTCTTTTATTAAATTATATTAATAATTGAACTAATATTGGTAATAAAATTACGCTATCCAAAGAATTTATCAATAGATTCTCATGGATTGAAGTTAGCTTCTTCTTTTTAAGAGAATAAGAATGCCTCCGCATTTATTAAAGAATAAATATACTTATATTTCGATAGTGATTCATGTTGATTTGATTTATTAAGATTACTTAATCTAAGATTTTAGAAGAAATTTATAACCAAATATCATCATGGAACTAGAGATATGATATTGGAAACAAAGAATTGTAGACCCTTTTAAGCAGTACAAAAAAATAGTATCTATTATATCAAATTTAAAAATAGATGTATTTTTATAACTGCTTACTACTATCTAGTTCTACACTTTTGACGAATAGTCGAATCGAAAAACTTATAATAGAATATATTATCTTATGTTCATTATAATCTCATATGTTCATTTTATTATCAACTTTTTATCATTAAGACAGCGGTTACATTCCATCTTATATCATCACTAAAGGATCTTCATTTAAATTTCTTACAATACTTTTTTTTTTGTTTTATTATAAGGTTTTTTTTTTTTTGTAATCATTCATTTGCTATAAATATTCTTCTAATTTTTATTCTGTCAATTCTTCTCTACAAATTGGGCAAAATTGAATCTTATTGTTTGTTATCAACCATGTTGATAAACAATCAGCATGAAATACATGAATACAAGGTGTCACTCTACATACTGAATTTCTTTAATATTCAAGATAGCAAATGATGCAAGTTTCATATTACTTACAGTCAATCTTCTTTTCTATTATTAATGGGTGATGATCTAACTCAGACCAAGGCATTTTACACATATAATAATCAATTTATTTTTAATTGACTTACTATTTTTATATCTCCAGTGGGACTTATTGTGGAAATATTCTAATTCTATTATTTCTTCTATATCTGATCATAGTAATTATAATCCATGTAAGCACTAAAATGGCCGCTAGAGATACCAAGAGGTAAATAAGAATCTAATTTATATTCACTCCAGCGTCTGGAGATGGGATACTGATATTAATGTTAAGCTCACAAGTACCTGGCACAACAAATGTTAATAAAAGGCGATTAAACCTAGAGTTACTTTAGATAAATACCTCTATAAATCTTAGTTATGATTTAGTAGTTTAACAACTATAATCTCTGATATAGATAAGGATGTAGAATCTTAAGAAAACGAGTAAGTGTAATTATTAAATTACGGCGTAGCGACTCCATAGACAAAGTTTTCAAACATTATATACACAAAGATTGAAGATTTCTTAGAGAACAGTACATTTTTGAATTCTAAATCTAATTAAATAGTTTCTAACTAAGTCGTTTGTTGAAAATAGAAGTACTGTGTTTCACTTATTGTCATATTTTCTAATTTATTATCTATCAAGATGGGAGTAGCCATCTTGGAACAGTCCAAATCAACTCTATTTACTTTACATAAACATGAGCCAAATTAACAAGAGCCTAAAGAGCTTGAAGTGCATTTGTTAGGACAAGGAACTTCATCACTTTGTGTTATTTTTATGTTATATTAATAAGTTTTCCCTTCTTCTCTTTTTAAATTTGTGATATAAAATTTATCACCTTATTTATAGGAAAGTGGGGGTATTACTATGTTTTGATAGCTTTTGTGAAGATAATCACCATTCATATCAGTATATTTGGCATTTGTATTTTTGTTGCCCAAAACTGAAGGAGGACTGTTTTGATTAATTGTAAACTACAAATCGACATCACCATCATTTGGTGTTGTGAATATTAATCTTTTATTATCTATTATTATTACTCTATCTAAAGATATTTCTAACAGTCAGGTTTTGTAATTTGAAATAGCAAAGTTCCTTGTTCTACCTCTTATACCACCCTGTATTCAGAATCCTCCAAATTGTAATATTTTCCTTATTAAAAGTAATCCTAATTGATATATATTTCCTTTATTCCAAGTCCAGTTACAAAGAAGTAAAATAACAAGAGAAACATTTTTGTTCTTTTAATAATTATGTTTTATTAAAAATCTTTTTGTATAAATTCAAATATATTCCCTTTAATTTCCTACTGATTCTTCAGGACTTCAATCTAATCCAAAAATACAAGGTTTTTAAATTTGTCAACCCTTATTTCTAAAAAATAGCTACAACAAAAAATAATAAAATGATAGGATATTTTTGTATTTGGACATTTTAATAATCTCATTTTTATTTTTTTTATTCTATTTAATACTTTAGCAATAATTTCAGAATTTGATCTATTTCTTCAACAATTCCTTTTATCTGTTTGAATAATTGTAAAATAATTATGAAGCTAAGAAGAGAAGCATTTACATTAATAAATATATATGTACAACACTTAATTTTAGTTCAACTAATATACACATAAGTTTTTATTACAAATTTGGATATATTTAACATGAGAAATATCAAGGGAATTACAAATTATTGTTTGCCTAAGTTTTAATAACTATATATTAAAGTACTGACTTTTAAATTATGCTGGTTTTTTGATAATTTCACAGAATTGATCAAAATATCAGCGATTGTTTCTTATACACATTGTCTCAGTGATTTCATTGAAAATAACTATGATTGTAGGGTAAAACTAAATTTATGTCTCAAGCAGACTTAATTCTTGAAAAGCTCTATATATATTTGATTAATATAATTGTAAATTTATAATAATCAATGATAAGGCCATTATCTGAATATGAGTCATGTTACAAGGACATTAAAATAATTGGGAGGGGTCAATTTGGTAATAAGCAATTATCATTCTTAAAGGGATTGTTTATTTAGTATAGCAGAAGTCAACTTAGAAGGAATTTGCAGCTAAAAAAATAAAAGGAGAATGTTCCAATACAGAATTGGATATCTTATTTAGATTGAAACATCCCAATATCATAAATGTATATGAATGCTTCAGAGACGAAAATTAAATAATTATAATTATGGATTATTGTTAAAGTAACAATTGATTAAATGACAATAGAGGGAGATCTTTGGAATATGATACAATACAGGTTACTTGAAGGAAAGAATAAAGGGTATATTTAGAAGGTGGTCGAATAATGGCTTGTTCAATTACTAATGGGATTGGCTTACATACACGATAACAATATTATCCATAGAGATCTGAAGAGTTCCAATATTTTAATTAAGGAGGATGGGCAACTGAAAATAGCTGATTTCGGAGTAGCCAAAGTAATTTAATAAGTGATTACTAGATTCTTGCAGGAGACAAAATGGCTAAGACTATAGCTGGTAGTCCATTTTATTTATCCCCAGAAATAAGTCAGGGCTAAGATTATACTTTCTCCTCTGATTTATGGTCCCTTGGATGTATATTATTTGAGATGTGTACATTGAAAAGGGCTTTTGAGGGGGACTAATTTGATAAAGTACTTGAAAACATTCAGTAGCGAAGATTGCAATAGGAAATACTGATTTAGGATCAAATTGACCCAACTCTTTCGGATATACGAACGTATAGTTAGGAATTGGTAAACTTAATCTAATCTCTTTTGGATGTAGATCCTTAGAAACGACCTTCTGCCAAAGAACTGTTAAAATCTTCATATATTGCTAAAATTATGTTGTAGAGTTTTGAAAAGAAAAGCGTTAAATAGTAGGATATGCAAAAAATAGGTTAAGTCACTATGATGTAAAAAAAAGCACATGAAAAATATTAAAAATAAATGAGCTATGTTAAGTAACTTTTAGGAAACTCATAAGATTCCATCAATGCTCAATCCTAAGTTTGTGATAATATGTTTATAAAAAAGTAAACAAGTATTTGAAACACTTTTAAATATATATATTTCATTATCAATTTAATTTTATGAGCCATAGAAGACTTTCTAATAATTATTCTGAAAAACTTGATACATCTGGAGATGTTGGTCTTCCTAAAACCTAGGAAATCTCGGAATTATTTTTGAATTACCTAAAAGCTTAATCCATCAGTGAGTCAGATTGCTTGTCAAGATCTAAAGATATTTTGTAGAAATTGTAAACTGCTATCATCTTATTCAGCTGTTACGAAGCTATTACCTTTTTCGGTTGTTTGACTGTCTTAATCATTAGTCTGGAACTCAAAATAATTTTTATTGCAATAGGATTATTTTTCAAATTATTGACATTCATCTATCTAATATTTTAAGTAAGAAAACAAATTAAATGTATTGGATTGAAATCTACAATCACAAGGAAAATATTCTTAGAAATATTAAAATAGGATAAAACTATTGATCCAGAGAATAGAGTTGAAATAAGATTAGTGGATTTCAATGTAGCCACAAAATTGACTTTCAAGAAGTTTATTCAAGAGTTTACTATTTTTCATAGAAAATCTTTTATTACTGTCCTAATTCTAACAATAGTAATCTATGTATTATATTTTAACTTAATTCTCTAAGAATCCAAGGTTAATTAATATTTGATTTTCTCCGAATTTGCATTAATTACATTACCACTTACACTCACTATTATATCATTGACTCTACTACTACTATTCCTTCTGATTAATTGCCTTATCAATCTTGTTGACATGATAGTCCGATTATTTATCAATATTTTCATTTCCGTTCCAAGACTTATAAGATTTTTACTAATGATTTTCAGGATCAAAAAAGAGAATCATTCTGTTTTAATGAAATATGTTCACACTTAACATACATCAAAGGATATTTGCTCTATTTGCCTGTGTTCATTTTAAAATCAATGTATTTTACTACCATGCTAACATTTATTTCACATTGATTGTATTGAAAAATGGTTTTTTGGCAACAATTCGTGTCCTATATGCAGAGCAAAAATTAATAATAACGACGATAACCAACAAAAATGAACCTTATTTGTAATATTATATTTACTATATTAATTAATTTTAATTATAATTTTAAAGTAAATAAAATATAATTAAATTTGAAATGTTGACTTTTGAATCAAAATACTCTCAAATATTGATCAATTTATATTCATTCAATTAAACAATAACAATAAACAGGCATAATATAAATATTAGAATGAATAAAAATCAATTTTTATGGTAAAATTTGATTGGCTGATTTTTGCATCATTTGGATTTATATCCCATATACAACCTCCACTTTTAAATTATATTAATTTCAATTCAAAATATACAAAAATGGCTGGAAAATCAGGAAAAGGAATCGGTAAAGTAAGTGCAAAGAGACACGCAAGAAAACCAAACAAAGCCTCAATTGAAGGAATCACAAAACCTGCTATCAGAAGATTAGCTAGAAGAGGAGGTGTCAAGAGAATTTCATCATTCCTCTATGATGACTCAAGAAATGTTTTAAAGAGTTTCTTAGAGAATGTTGTCAGAGATGCTATCACATACACTGAGCATGCTAGAAGAAAGACCGTCACTGTTATGGATGTTGTTTACTCATTAAAGAGATAAGGAAGAACACTCTATGGATTCGGTGCATGAGTTTTATTTTCATTCAGAATTAATTAATTCTATTCATATATCTTCTTCCTTTTGCTTTTCCATATTTTATATAGTATTTTAATCTAAATTTATTGATATAAAAAATCAATAAAAATTTTATCAATACCCTTAAATCTTCTTCAACATATATTGAATAAATGATCAAAGGTTAATGATATGGATTCAAAGTTGTTTCTTGAAATAGTTTAGGACTTTTAGGGGTTTCTTATTTCATATACCAATCTTGTAATATTAGTACTTACTTAGCCACTTACTTTAATATTCCAAACTATATTTCTTAATGTCAATTCTAAATTAATATAGATTAAAACCAATTCTCAATTTATGGAATAGGATTTTATTTTTTTATATAATATTTATTAGATCATTCATTTTTGAACGATATTTATTAATAATTAAACAACAATTGCTTTACATTTATATAAATATTTTATTAAATATTTTTTGAATAAAATATCAGAATAAATTTTGGGTTATATACTTTATATTAAAATCAAGTTTGAGAATCATTTAGTAATAATATTTTATTGAATACCTATTAATGTACATTAAGTAAATAATAAAGAGTGATATTCAATCAAGGTTCATCGATAAACCAGGTTTAATTAATAATTCTTTGTTAGAAATTATTAATAAAAATGAATGAGTGAAGGAAATTTAATTATATTGTTTTTGAATAGTATTTAAATAAAAAAGTATTATTTGGAAATATATTGCATGAAATTCGTGAAGAAAAAACAAAAAATTAATTTTTAATTAAATCTTTTTCAAAATGAAAACCCATGTCGAAGTTTCAAGTTAAAGAAGAAAGGGCAGAAGAGCCCAATTAGGAGCACCATCAAACATCAGATATAAATTAATGAGCGCTCATCTATCTAAAGATTTAAGAAAGAAATACAATGTTAGAGCATTGCCAGTTAGAAAGGATGATGAAGTCACTGTTGTTAGGGGTATAATTGTAAAATTGAGCATAGGCACACATAAGGGAACAAAGGGTAAAGTTTCATCAGTTTACAGAAAGAGATGGGTTATTCAAATTGAGAAACTCACCAGAACAAAGGCCAATGGTATTTTAATAATGTTATTGTAGGAATGCCATACTAAATCCCAATCAGAGCATCATAATGCATTATCACAAAACCCTACCTCAATGAAGACAGAAAATAATTGTTAGCAAGAAAGGCATCAGCCAAAGTGTCAACAAAGGGAAAGGGTGAAAAACACACAACTGAAAGCACTAAGAAAGCTGATTGATTTATTAAAATATAGAAGTACATTAGAAATATTTTTTTTTGGTTGCCACATATTTATTTATAAAAGTAATATATACTAAAATGTCATTATTCATCATCTTCTAACTAAAATCCATTAAATTTTTTTAAATTTTCTAAATTGGGAAAGTGTTTCTCAAAGTTTTTAGCCAAATTCAAGATTTTTGCTGCAACTTCTACTAACTAATCTTGATCAACTTAAATAATTTAAGCAACATCCTTAATCTATGAAATAGATAAAATTACATACTTAACTATCAGCATTGAAAGTAGTATCCAATTGTTCAACTATTTTAAATGCTACAAAAATTAAAGCAGCAGCCAATAAAGTATAATTGTACTTGCCACATATCTCATAATCAAACAAAACCATTTTGGAAAGATACAAACATAGTTTTTTTAAATATTTGTAATTTTTCTCAAGCAAATTAGATTCAATGAAACAATTAGTAAGAATTAAATTGTACATGTCAAAAAGTGTTCCACCAACTAGATCAAACCCGATAGTTTAGAGAATGTCACTCTCTTTCTTTTTAATTTGATCAGTTGTTAATTTTTTATGAGCTATTTTCTCATAAACTACAGATAATTTCATTGGATGAATTTCTTCATATTTGGCAGCAATGAACATAGATGTGACACCACATAGATGTAAATCAGACACTTCTAATTGCTTTTCACTTTTTGCAAAATAGAAATCCAAGGTTCTCACAGCAACGAAGAATGTTTAATCGGTGCATTTATAAGAGCAAAGTACTTCTACCATCCAATCAATCATTTTAGCTCTTAAATTACTGGGAATTGAATGATTCTTCAAGAATTCTTGTGGTGTTGATTTTTTCTAAATAATTTTTATTGTTAAATACTTCTTATTCTTTTAAATAGAAAAATATTTCCTCTGTGTAAAACTTTTACAGATTTTTATTTTCCTGAATGGTGTGATCAAATTTTGGCTTCAATGTGATGTTCTACAATTCCTGGGGCAGAGTATAGAGTTTAGTAGTAAGTCCTTTGTGTTGGGGCACATTTTCTTTGTCTTCCAATACATCCTGATTGAGTGATCTCTTTACTCTCTCTTAATTCATCATTTTCCTTCTTAAATCATTGTTGCTACTAAGCATCGACTTGTTGATTTGTTGAGTGTCTTGATTTATATACATCATGCATTTACCTTCATTATACAACATGGTCAAATTCTTTCTGACTGGGTCTCTGTTTTCTATATAGGTCTTGGTGATTCTTCTTAAGGGTTATTACTATTGATTTTCAGGAACTCCGCTTAGTGATCTGTTGTACTTAATTTCCATTATTTATTCGTTAAAATAATTAACGTCGCGCAAAATTAATTATAATATAAAATCCAGAAAACATAGGAAATAAAAATAATAATAAAAATAGTCCCTTTTCACTTTATTTTATAAAATAAAATTTACAAGTTCATACAATGAAATAAAACAATGGTTAAACTCCAAACAATGAAAACTTAAGAGTAGTTATAAGAGTCCGTCCACCAATGGCTAGAGAAATTCGGGATGGCAAATTCATCTCAACTGTGCAGGTTGCTCCAGATAATTTATAACTTTGCATATTTGATTATCATGCAATTGAGCTTGTTCCGGATGAAGATTTAGAACAATATGTTTCAAATCCATCAAATTACACTCTCCATTAATTCACATTTGATTATGTCTATGACCAAGACAGCACTTAAGAATAAGTATATAATACCACAGCAGCATTATCAGTAGATTCAACTTTGCAAGGATACAATTCAACTATAATTGCATACGGTCAAACTGGAACTGGTAAAACATACACAATGCACGGATTTAGTTTCAACCCTAATTCAGATTAATTAGGTATCATACCAAGATCTTTGCATAACATATTTAATCACATTTAAATGAAAAGTAATTCATCTACAACCTTTATGGTTCGAGCATCATATTTGCAGATATATAATGAAAACATTAGTGATTTATTAAGAGACTCTGCATCTTTGAATATAAGAGAAGACAAAAAAAGAGGGGTTTTTGTTGAAAACCTGTCAGAATGGGCAGTAAGGGGTCCAGCTGAAATTTATTAATTAATGCGTAAAGGTAATGCTAAAAGAGTAACAGCAAGTACAAGAATGAATGATACAAGTTCAAGAAGTCATGCTGTTTTCATTATTACTGTTGAACAGATAGAAGAGAAAGCTGAAGGGAAATCTGCAAAAGTTGGAAAATTGAACTTGGTAGATTTGGCTGGTAGTGAGAGAGTGAGAGTAACAGGAGCAACTGGTCAAAGATTAGAAGAATCCAAAAAAATTAATTAATCTTTGTCTGCTTTAGGAAATGTCATTGCAGCTTTGACTGAAAATAGAGGTACTAAACCTCATATTCCTTATAGAGATTCAAAAATTACAAGATTATTAGAAGATTCTCTCGGTGGGAATTGTAAAACTACCTTCATGGCCATGATATCACCAGCAATTGATGCTTTTGGAGAGTCCTTATCAACATTAAAATTTGCAAATAGAGCTAAAACCATAAAAAATACTCCAATTGTGAATTAAGATGGAGATCAAGGGGCTTTGTTAAGAAAATATCAATTAGAAATTCAGAAATTGAAATCAGAATTAGAAGAGAGAACAAAGTAACCACTTGAAAATCTAGTTAATGAATTAGAAAAAGAAAAACAAAAGGCTTTGGAAGATAAGTAAGAAGCTCAATCTGCTTATGAATAAAGATCCAAAGATTTGTTTAAAGAAACTGAATTGAGAAAGTAATTAGAAGAGAAGATTTCTGCATTAAATTCTCAGATGCTAGTAGGTGGATAAAAGATAGAAGAAACTCCTTAATTTTAAAGTGCCTTAGAGAAATAATAAAGATTAATAAGATAGTAATACTAAGAAAAATTAACTGAATTAGAAAAAGAGAGACAATCAATTGAAGAGGATAAAGCTTAAACAGATAAGTATAAGCAATTATTGCTAAAATAAAGAGATATTATGATAGCATTAACTAATAGGTTAAATGATAGAGATGAAACCATCCTTCAATTATAGGAAGAATTGGATGTTTATGAAAAACTATAAAAAGAGAATGAGGATCAACT